TCCGCATTTGTTCGGAATGCGAACACACTCATTGCAAAACTCCAGAATACAGCTCTTGCCGACGATTATCCACCAGCTGATATGCTTTCGGAAGAGGACCTCATTCATCCGAAAAGCGATGGTGCACGTATTCCCTCTATATGAGGGTCTTGGCTACTGGCGGTACTGCGGTCATGCTGATAAAGGCAAAACCCGAGTCGGCGCCGGAACCCTCACTTGGTGCAGACAAGGCCTGTTGAATGAGGCTTGATGTCCTTCAACTCTTCAAAACGGCATATACTAGGGTTGTACTGCTCCTTGAAACCCTCCCTCTTCCAGTTGACCTGCTCGACAGAATCTGCAGAATACAAGGGCTTTACATTGAGGTCTGTTACAGGTTCGTCGACCGCGCTGCGCCTTTGTGTCGCTTCCAAATATGTAGGGACGCGATGGGTGCCTCGCCTTCAATAAATCTTATGTTTCGTTCTGTCTGTGTGTTGTTGGGACGAGAGATTGTTCTCGTGAGTTGAATTACAAATGCTCAACGTGTTGTATTGGCGCATCGTATGCTCTTCGCTACTTCTCAGTGCTTCTTCCGCTTGCCTGGGGTCGAGGGTAATAACGATGAAGTTAAAAGTTAGCAGCTCATCTCAGTGGGATCCCAAACTAATTGCAAATCTGTTATACTGGGAGAGACTCGGACTTATTTAGCTCTAATACCAACTACCTTGCATAAAGTGAGTATTTTGTATGGAAATTCAGGAGGTTCCGACTTATTCGCAGTCTCAGAGCACGTCTGTAGGTCAAACCGATAGCGAAGGTTGCATCTACCGAGACTTCGGCCACAATTCGAGGATCTTTATAACGTATGATTCTCTTCCCAACGTCATCATGAAGTCTGATTTACCTTGTGACTATTTGCTCGGCGTCGAAAGTTGCGTAACGTCGCACACCCACTTCTCGCACACCCCCACATTTCGCACACCCATAAATTGGGTCATCATGAGGTATTCATCAACTTCATAACTATAAGTCTGATTCGTCTCCTGCAACTGTGATACTATCGCCAGTTTTAATAGGTAATTCAGGCTCGCTAGATTCATCTGAGCTATCCTCAATTTCGCCAGCCTCAATTTGGGCTTTGTGAATTGCCTCAATGTTGGCAAACTTCGAATTTGGGCTCATTTGGACCTTACGCCGCTTCCGTACCATTCCAGCCTCAACTTCTGCTTCCAACATTGCAATCTTCTTCTCTGCTGTAGCCAATTGATAGTCCTTTTCATCAAATCCCTTTTGAACCTTCCGAAACAACAGTCGCTGCGTTTGCTGATCTTTATCCAACTTGCTGAATAAGCTAAGTTGATCATATAGATCAACTGTCTTCTTGGGCGTTGACCAGGCTACTATGGATGTAGCAGATGCCCAGTTTTCGTCTTTTCCACCATCAGAGGCCCTCATAGGCGTAGAATAGCCTGGCTTTGAGGGCTTGGAAGCATTCTCAAGCAGTAGAGGGCTCATGAGCGGTCGAGCTATCGAAATGGGCCATAGTCCTGTTGCTTTCCAGCCGCTTCTGATATTCTTGCTTGAAAATGCCATCTGGCGTGCTTTTCCATAGCAGGTAAGAAAGTTCCGTTTGCCTACAACTGTAGAATCGTTGTGTTGAATGAGGTATCCAAGCTCTTTTCGATAGGTCGCCTTGAGAGGCCCAAAGACTGCTTGGTCTAGAGGTTGGAGAACGTGGGATGTATGTGGCGGTAGGAAAAGGAGATATATCTTGTGTTTATAACAGAGATACATAAATTCTGTTGTTTCATGACTGCCATGACCGTCTAGGATCAATAGTCTCTGCTCAGAGGGATGATCAGGCTTAGTCAGAGGGATAAAGATGTTCTCAAGCCATTCCACAGCTGTAGAGTCTGAAGTCCAGCCATTCTCAGTTGCTGTGAACTTCCAACCACTGTAAATATCACGTTTATGGATATCAAGAGGAAACCATTGTTGTTGAACCGATTTCCCTCGATAAATAACAAGTGGAGGAAGCGCCTGACCAGTTGCAGAGACACACTCAAGCATAGTTGTCCAAGCCCGAGACCCAGGCTGTTTTTTTCGCATTGATGAGCTTTCTGATGATCCCAGTACTAAGCCATTTGATCCTCTGCCTTCTAGGATACCAGTTTCATCCATGTTATAGCGATGATGTGGTTTGATCGCCTTGATCTCTGGAAGGGCGAGTTGTTGAAACCATTGCCTGATTACATTAGTTGAGGCCCCATTGACACGCTTAGAATCGATGGCTCTAGCTCTATGAACCTTGATTGATGGATTTCTCTTAATAAAGAACTGAATCCAGTTTCTCCCAAGTGGCTGGGTAGTGCCTCTGATGTCTAGGATTCGCTGGGCAAATTCCTTGAGTTGTTGATGTGTTGGCGGCAGCCCTAACGCCGCCTGGATACGCACCCATTCAGCTAAGTGACTTTCCTGTGCTGGAGATAGCTTCTGGAAGCTAGAGAAAGCTACATTTCTTGCCTGTGAACCCTTTAATCGAGACTGGAGGGTTGATGGTGGAATTCCAGCATCATGAGCTGCCTTTCGGACACTCTGCCCACTTGCAACTGCATTGAGAGCTTGATTGACTTCTGTTTCCGTATACTGGCCCATTAAGCGTATAAGAGTAACTATTCAAAGAATTATAATAATCGCTGTAAAAGTGGTGAAGATATTAAAGAATGTTGAAGAGGGTAAAATTCTACATGAGCGATTTATGGGTGTGCGAAATGTGGGGGTGTGCGAGAAGTGGGTGTGCGACGTTATATACTGATACCGACACTATCGCCCTGAGGCTGGTTGATGAATGGGTGCCATACCATTTCCGCAGCTAGATTCGGCTCATAGTTGTTACAAAGCTCGACCAGCACGACGGCTTCGCCTGGACTGACACTCCTCACCCGCCGCAGTTCTGCCAGTGGGCCATCGTTGCGGCTCCAGGCCACCCGGTCTTCCAGAAGGTGAACGTCTCGGACTCCGCGTTCTGTACGACTTGGTACAGAAATATGAGAGGCCCGGTTACAAGGTGAAAATTGGACTTGGTCACCAACCAGATTGGAGGTGATGGATTCAGCCGGCCCAGCCGCGTAGACGGAGGTGGCTTGGGAATACTTGTACGATGCCGAGGGTAGCTTGTAAATCCTCAGGGAGCTGTCTTATATTGATTCGCGTAGACTTTACGACTATATGTTAGTGTTACCTATCGACAGGTTTGGAATAGGCCAAGCACGTTCAGATGAGGGGGTGTATCCCCGCTAATGTGTGGGTGCAAGGTCTCTTGAGCGGATCATGGAGAGAATAGACAGCTTTCTTCTTACGTCTGCAATCAAAGTATTAACAACTTGAACTTGATATGACTCATCCAGGCTGTTGATATTGCGGTTGTAATGCAGCTGCAGTTATTCAGTTGTTTTAGCGATTGTGGAGTGTCATCAGAGAAGACGGTCTACCAATTATAGCAGCCAAGCGACACCTCCTGTCATGTAGCATACACAGTCAGGTGGTCTTATTCGCACAGCACTTAGAAAAAATCATGGACAAGAACTGACATGTCGAATCCACATATTACAGCCAACAATTCATAGATGTTAGTGATGAGTATCACGACTTCCTTCTTCAAAGCCGCAAGCCTCCCATTGATACACTTTCTCCCGATTGATCGAAGTCTCTAGCTGGTTTCTAGAACTTATCCATTTCGATTTTACCTGCATGTATTTGCCCACTCTCTGTATAAGGTTCTGAACCGACCTAACCAAGAAGTTACTGCTCAGGTTCATGAAGGCACTATGTTTGAACGTTCTTAATGCCTTTCGCCGAACGGCTCACTCCTTCTCATGGGTGTTAAGCATCAAGGACTCGCGGTGTAATTTAATATTCTTTATGAGAAGGGTGATGAACCTTTTTTTCCTCTATTCTTTTGGTGCACTCTACCCTGTGAGCAGTTAGCGTTTCTTTCAGTCGGTGTACCTCGACTAGATCGGGATTAAGTTTAGCTATGAAGTTATCCACGTCGACATGGACATGCGATGGGTTAACCCCAATATCGACGCGAACATCGAGTTCTCCCTTGATTTGACTCTCCTTAGACGGCTTCTCTTTAAGCTAGCGACTGGTAGTTCTCTGAACTAAGGTCCAAGCTTCGTGGGGGTCGGCTTCAACCTCCGTAATTAAAGTAATTTACTCGTCCCTTGACTGGACTTCTAGGACATATTTTACAAGCCTTCATCGCAGAGACCTTCTTTTCTTAATTCTAACTTTGATCCTTTTTTTTTTCCTCCCATCGAAATGGGTACAACAGCTCAGCTCATATAGCTCAGCACGCACCTCCAGTAATTTCTATGAAAGCAGAGCGTCCTAAGCCTTCATAGAAAACGGTCTCAGCTGCTGGAGATACTCAGCAGAAATAATTGCTCTCTCCATTGTTAGGTCTATTTATACGTTCATGATGTTATGGCTTCGCTGCTTAGGATGCACCTCCTCCGTCGGCTTTGCGTTGCGCAAAAGTGTGACCCACAATTACGGTCTGGCAATTGCGGCTCAGCAGAGGAACGCCACAGAGCATGGTCTGTGCTTTGGACAATTCTCTTAAAAAGTGACCAATGTTCTGGACACTTTTGTCAACAACTGTCCAATGAGCTGGACATCTGGACTAGAATTATCCAAAATGGCCCTTTGACTCCAACGCAATCATGACCATTTCAAAATAATTCTGCGTGGGTCAGCTAACTTTGTCAACAGCAAGACTGAACACATTTCACATTTACTTATTTATTTACTTTAAAATTCCTCAGTGTCAATCCATGTAGCAACACCGGTCTGGCAATTGTAGAGCTCCTCGAGCTGGATATATAAACATTTAACTAAAATACATGCTTGGTCGTTTCCGTGTCGCCGTGTCATCATTACTAATAATGTCGAAATGAAAAATTCAAAGCAGAACAAGAAAAGAAAAACCACACCCCCGTGTAGTTTATGCATCAAAAATGGTTTGCAAACTTGCTGGCTGCGAAACGAGCAAGCAGAATGTGCACTACACACATGCGGTACTTGCTTGAAACAAATTCGCTTTGGCACCGATCCTCTCCTCCCGAAGCACCCAAAGTAAGCTGCCTTTCCTCGATACGAGCGTCCACGGCGGCCGCTGTAGATGCAAGCAGAGAGAAAAGTACACTGTCCGACTTGGTGGGCGTGGGCTGAAGCGGCGGCACTGCAGATCGGGAGATGAGTCGAACTGCATCGAGATAGACAGAGAACTCCTTTTCCCGCGCCTCCATGTCTTTTCGGTACATGCTCTCGGCCTCGATGGCGACGCGTAAACATGTCTCGTGCGCGATGTGGAGGCTCGAAACGATTGCTGCAAGTATGCCCGCTTGGGTGTGGCGAGTGTCGCTGGCCAGTAAAGCCTTGCTGTTTTCTTGCGGGAAATGACTCGGCGTGGCCAGGGTGTACTGGGCCAGGTGATAGCATCGAGTGCGGTATCGTAATAACCACTTGGCGCGCAAATCGAGGCAGGTGGGATTCTCGAACATTGAAAGCCAGTCTTGGTGGATGGCGTCGGGGGCGATTGACGCTGCCGAAGATGTGAACAAGCTGTGTCGCAAACAAAGACGGTTGATGACTGCTGGCTCATTGACCGGCAAGCGAGCAGCAAGCTTGCTGGCGTACCACAGCACATAGACTCCGCAATCCCATGTGTTATCCTGTTTGGCACACTACATGCAGCATGATCAGTTACGGTGAACGAGCCAGCCTCTAGCTCCGGTAGCACACTTACATCGTAAACGCAGCGCGTTGAGAGAGGCTTGTCTTTCGGCCAGCAGAAGGTACCATGCAAAAAGTCGATGACTTGGTGGAATAACTGGTTTTGTGATTGCCTGGGTGTTGTCGACGCCGGCGGCCCGAGACTGTCGTATCGATACACTGTACTTTCATCTGACCTGAATGTATACAAGACCCAGTGATTGTTGTTCTCGTGGACTGGAAACATGATCAATTCCCTCCCCTCGACGGAACGGCGAACAAACTGCTTCTTTCGCTCAGAGACCCTGGGGACGCCTTTGGACTGGTTTACAAGTGCAAAAGAGTCGAGGATTGCAATCTTGGAGCTTGCCAGACGGCATAGCATCGTGTTCATGACAATGTCATTCAACCATGCCCGCGACGCCAAGGTGGCAGCGCTAAAGACTAACTGTTCAAGACTTGACCTCTGCGCTTTCGTGGCCCGACTGCAGATCGGTTCACGCAAGTCTTGTGGGCTATCAGATATCATCTTCTCGGCAAGACAATCATTCTCTGCGCCATTGCCAATAGTCGTAGTCGGGCTGGCAAGGCTTTGAGGTTTTTCTGATTCAACGGTGTCGAGGCGGCGATATTTTTGAGCATTCTGTAAATCCGTGGAGGGCGGGGGGCGTTTGTATTGCTCCCGGGTAGCTGGCCGAGTTATGTACTCAAAGGATTTATCCATGGCGGATTCCGGTGACTTTGGTAGCTGCGGGTCTGGTCTCATGGCCTGTCTTCCAGGGAGATCATTCATTTCGAATAGCGGAGTGAGAAACAGGGCTTCCGGTTCCTGCGTAGGGGCTCTTCTACCAAGCTCAGGAGTTGCAGGCTGAGACAGTCTTTCGGTAACTTCGACAATGGTAGAGAGCCCAATTTGCGGGTCGAAATCCCCAGATTCGGCTTCACCGCCGACGTATTCGTCGCCTTCGTCGTCATCGTCGCTGTTGAAACCCAAATGCTCAGTCACATGCTCAGTGTTCTCGGCCGAATTGGAAGCCAAGGGGACTGAGTCGCTGTTGGCCTCGACAGAGAACAGACTGCTGTCATTTTTGTCGTATCCGTCTCTGGCTATTTCGATGCTACGGGCAACTTGGCTGGAAACGGAAGAACAAGCACCGTCAGAAGAGCTGGGCTTGAGGGCAGGCTGGTCAGTTGCGGGGAGGAGTTGTGAATCTGGCGGATCCTCATTCGGTACGAAGCTGTCTTCAACTGACTCTGAAGAATGGTCCGAGTCATAGTCGGCTTCTTTGGGAGGTTCTGGTGTTGATCGAGCTGTCCCAGAAGTCCCCGCGGAAGCCTGTTCGACTTGAGAGCGTTCAACCCGAGACTTTTTGGACAAAGGTGTTTCCCATGCGTCCGCATCAACTGCAGAAGGAGACTAAAGGTAAGAAAGAGGCACAAAGGTGGGAGATGCGGGATGTCACCCACAAGACTGGATCGCGGTTTTCAATCTATCCTTGGGGCTGATAGTTTTCGTCACCGACTTGTTAAGCCTTTTGGAGGTAGGCTGTCGGTAGAAGACGCGAAAAAGGGAGATGATGTCGCATTGGGGAGTGGATGAGTGAAGACGATTGAGGGCATCAAGGGCTGGGCGGCATCCAGGAAATACTTCAGTGCCGAAAAGGAAGCAGAAAAGACCGGGAGAAGCACCAAACTTGGGAGCCACGGCATTGAGACGATTGCCACGGTTGCCGCTTGCGGCCCCCTTTCCGTCGGCAGGATGAAGATAGTCACAGAACTCTTTGTCTGTCGCCAGGCAGAGGATCTGGCGATCAACGTTCTGCAATGCCCACGATGCAAAGGATCCTTCGATGGCGGGTTCGGCGGCATCGAAAGCCTGACGGAGGCGACGCCACAGACGGACGATGGTAGCATCTGTCGTGTCATGCGCAAGTGCATTGATTGATTTGAGCGTACTGTCGAGGTCGGAGATTGTTCTTGGCGGTGAAGCTGACGCTGTAATTCTGGGTCGTTGTGGTTGCAATGGCCGCCCTCGGGGCTCTGGGGTCAGTCGAGCCATTGAGGAAGTTTGACTGGGGTATGACAAAACATTTATCAGACTTTGGCTGGTGGGTGATGAATGTGGAAGAAAAAGGACAACATCTGAAGTTCTTTTGCAGGGGAGAAGATGAAAATGATGATTGCAAAAGGTAGAGAGAAAGAAAAAAAAGAAAGGAAGGCTCAACTCAACGCTGTTGCATCGCGAAGGCGACAACTACACGGAAGGCGCGGTTGGGTTAATTGATTGATGAATGAGATGGCAGCCACAAACGCGTCAGCCACACGCGTCGGCACGTGACGGTTCGTTGATTGAAGCTGACTACTGTATGACTTTGTAGATAAGTCGATAAGGAAGATTATGTAATGTGTTGGTTAAACATGGCTCCCAATAGGTTCACGGGTACCCGTGCGTGTAAAATTTCACGGGTACCCGTGGAAATGACTAAGCAACCTGCCCACGTCAATGAACGCGTCTTGTGTCATACACCTTTCACGCGTTATTTGCATCCAGCACTTCAGTCATATATTCTTAAAAATGGAAATAGCTCTCAAAGACTCAATACTCACATTCCCAGACGACAGTCTCCCCCCTGAAAGCGATCATAAATCTCGCGATAAGCTTTTTATGTCAATCAACAACTAGGCGGCGACAAAGGGATACGCATTCACTACCGGGAGATCAACAAAGGAGAAAAGCGGACGACGGACGATTACATATTCATGCGATAGGTCGTGTCATCCGCCAAGCACATCAATAGCGCGGCAAAGGCAAACTACTAGTAGGGGGACTGGTTATCAATTTTCCGTCCTTGCTAAGGAATCTTTGGATAAGAGCACATGGAGCTTGAGACACCGGCCCGATAAGCGTTTTTCTTCTCATAATCATCCCCCAAGCCAACATCCGTCTGCTCACCCAACGCATCGCAAGCTATCTGAGGAGGATCAAGCCAAGGTGGCCGGTCTTTCAAACGCTGGCGTCGCACCCAGGGACATCAGAACATACATACGACAAACGACAGACTCTATAGCGACCCAGCAGGATATCTATAATCATATTGCAGCTGCTAAACGAGATGTTCGTGAAGGGCAGACCTCGATCTATGCACTTGCTAATCAACTTGATGAGGAAGGCTTCTGGAGTCGCATGCAGTTTGCACCAGATGGCCGAGTTACGGCTGTCTTGTTCGCTCATCCAGATTCCTTAGCCCTTCTCCAAGCCTACCCAGACATCATGTTACTAGACTATACCTATAAGACTAATAAGTATAGTATGCCACTTCTTGATATAGTTAGCGTCGATGCTTGCTAACGGTCGTTCTGTATTGCGTTTGCATTTCTTAGCGGCAAGGCAGAAGATGACTATACCTAGGCTTTGGAGCGGGTCAAATCCTTGTATAGTCAGTGCAACGCTAGCCTACCTGCGGTTATCCTCACAGATCGCTACTTAGCATGCATTAACGCTATTACAACCATCTTCCCCTCTTCTGCATCTTTGCTTTGCCTCTAGCATGCGAACAAGGCCGTTCTTCAACATTGTAATCCAGCTTTTGACTCTACTAAGCCAAAGACAGTCAACAATCCTGCAGCGCTCAAACCTTCAACTCAGAGCTAGGAAGAATTCTATAACTCCTAGCATTCGATCATCAGCTCGCTATCTAAGGTGGTTTTTGAGGAGCGCGTTTCCCAGTTTGAGGAACGCTATCTTCTAGACCATCTCGAAGAAGTCGGCTATGTTACGTCCGTTTGGTTGAAACCATACAAGGAGAAGCTAGTGAAAGCCTAGGTCGATCAGCATACCTATTTTGGCAATGTAGCTACTTCGCGAGTTGAGGGTATTCATACACTACTTAAATCGCACTTGAAACGATCCACATTAGACCTTTTTGAAGCTTAGCAAGCAATGAAGCATGCTTTACTAAATCAGCTATCGGATCTAAAGTCAAATCAAGTTAAACAGCAAATACGGATACTAGTTAAGCTTTCAGGGTTAATATACGGCGTAGTGCTTGGCTAGGTATCGCATGAAGCCTTGCGCAAAGTAGAAGAGCAACGGAAGCTGCTTACGAAGAAAGACACAAATCCTTCCACAGCCTGTACGGGGACGTTTTCTCGAGTATATGGTCTCCCATGCTTACACAAATTGAAGACTTTACAAGAACAGAATCTTGTTCTTCTACGTGAGCACTTCTATGCATATTGGTATTTGAGGCGTGATGGAGCGCCGCAGCTATTGCTGGAGCCTCGCCAGCGCATAGAGCCCAGGTTGCAATTAGAGAATCCCAGTATTCCCAAATCAAGCACTAGACGAGAGCCTAGCGGGTTCGAAGTTGTTGAAGTTGCTTCACGGGCCCCAAGCAAATGCAGTAGGTGTCATACAGTTGGCCATACTATGACTTCAAAGGCGTGCCCTCTGCGATATACGCATTTATTACCTAAACCGACACCTACTCCAGATCCAGCTACAGTATCAACTGCGATATTTACCAGGACGACGACAGATACATAAGAACCTCCTTCAAACGCCGTGCAGGACGTACCAGAGTTGGTTCAACCGACTATTGCTATAGTAGTAGAGACCAGTATATCACCACCTCGGGTATTATCACTATTTGCGCATTCGCATTCACCTTCGCTGCCAGGATACGATTCACCTCAGGCGATATACGGACGGTACTATGCAGCAAGAAGCGCCTGGTACGGTGCTCAACCTCGTGGGAGTGTCAAAACAAACCAGGAGTATCGAAGGGCAATGGGACTTCCGCTACGTTATGACAAAAAGTGTTATGAGTGGTGTCTTGACTATAAGCAGATGAAAGGACGCTGCACTACCTTACACGGGTCAAGGGATTGGACGAAGGAGGAGATGATGGCTTATCTGGACTGGGATAGGGCTGAACACAAACGGGTCGATGAGCTGATTATTGCGGAAGATGGACAAAACCCCTTTAAAAACAGTGAGAGAGGTATGAGCGAAGTCTGGAAACGAGTCGAGCAAGATAAGGCAGAGCAGGAGGCGTTATACGCTGGTAGTAAGCCCGAAGAGTGCATCGTAGTAAAGTCGTAAACTTTCCGGATAAGTTTGATGCAGGCCGTGCCTCTCATTGGCTCATGAGCCCCATATCAGAGTTGCTTAGTCATTTCCACGGGTACCCGTGAAATTTTACACGCACGGGTACCCGTGAACCTATTGGGAGCCAGAAGCCAACCCCTCCTTAGCTAAACACACTCTCCTTAAGATTCCAGCAGCCAGAACGTACAGAACACCTCCTCCAGGGTCTCACATGTCATGTATAAATGTAGTGAAATGCCTCAATTATCTAGAAAAATGTTCCCATCTATACTCTCAAAGGCAAGATATGCTTATTAATAGATGGTGTTGCTCTAGGCCTACCGCTTGATCACCATCACTCAGATGTACTCCGTAAAGGTACTTGGGATTAAGCTGGCAAAAGCAGGGAACACATCCAAAACTTCCCACCAAGTGCACGTATGGAGCTTATACCTTCTTAATAAATAAACCGCCGGTTAATATGTCCATTGTGGGGGCATGCAGTAAGTGGGTCGCCGGCTCGAAGGACCTGGCTACGGGTACATTTGTCTCGATCCGAGTCCCGGCCCCAGGTCTACCACACCAAACACTCTTCTGCCACCACAATATATGCACGCAAGTCTCGCATCGCCATCACTCATTATTTGACTATTTCATCACCTCATCTGCAGGGCTAAGTTTCTCACATTTCTTCACGATTTTGACGCTTCATAGTCCTGCAGGGTTTTTTTTTTTTTTATGAGTAAAGGTATTTTTATGTAAGTCAGTCCGGATAAGCTTTGTACACCTCCGCCATAATTACAAATGTTAGCATGGCAGTAGTTCGTTCCACTGTTACTACCCCGCGGTATTCTGCCTCTTCTGGATAACAGTGGAACCTTTCCGCGCTAACAGGTGGAACACTGGCGGATGTGCAAATAAATAAATGGAGCCCCTATAAGACCCCCAAATTATAGAGGGTCACTCCCTTGGGAATTAGTGGTCCCGCGTTCGGTTCGGCGCACAACACGGAATCCACCGACTACCTTTCAGTGTCTACTACTTATACAACAATTGATACTCCATGTCTAAGTACGTAATTTTCCAACTTCAGGATGATTGAAACTCAGCATAAATGATTATCTTGGTGCGTTGCGCCTCAGTCACAAAAAGTCCGCCTGGCTTTTCGCTAAACTGGACTAAATATTGCCGACTGGGGAGTGGGACACGGCACATGGCCTTGCCGGAACAGCAGAGATGGCCGGGCCGCTGGCCGTTGGAACAGTGACCATGGTCACCAGGCTGGACTTGGACGATCAGAGCAAAAGGGTGAAATACTCTGAATCGGTGTGATTAGATCCCTAGAGAGCGAGCAGACAGCTTGACAATCAACTTCACTAGTTCCGGGCGTATTGCTATTACGGGAAGACAACAGACACATTACAAACGAACATCTTTCGATTCGATTCGGTTAAAAATTCTCACCGCTGCAAGATGCGGCAGGCTGCAGAGACAACTCAGTCACCTGGAAAAGTATACTATGTTATCTCGTACTTGAATCACAGATCAAAGGCGGCAAGAAATGACGGGAGACGGGTACGGCCGTACCGGCTACATGATATGCAGTTTGCGACTTTGGTGTGGTGAGAAAACTACCTTACCAAGTTCCAAATCCATGTATGCAACGTTTTCTTTCTTTTCTTTTTTTTCCCTCGGTAGACGTCGATTCCCCTCACGCCAAGGTTGGCTTTTCCCTTTTCCTCCTTCTTACCACACTACTTCAGCGGAATAACGACAACCAGATCCTCGTCAAACGATTCATCATATCCCATGGTAAGGTACTCTGCATCCACTAAAAATACTTGTAAATGCTGGCAATGGCTGGCTATACCAATTTCGACCTGCTCTTGTTCCCTCATATACATTTTTGTTCTTTCTCATAAATAGATAAAGGGAGCCCTCAAAGACAGTATTTGATTTATCCTCCCTTGATCAATGCAGTACGGCACTAGCTATTCATCTCATCAAGTCTCTGCGTGTATTCTTATTCATATTCAAAATGTCCTTGTTTGGTCCCCCACGCCATCTAAGCAACCCCAGCTCTCTCTCCGCACCCATCGGTAACAACTCTCCCCAGCATACCGACCCCGATCAATCAGTTTTTCAACACCTGGAAGAACTGAAAAATAAATCACAAGGTGTAATCAATCAGCTTTGCGGTCAACAAACCGTAGGATTTCGGCTCTTGACCTCGGCAAGCCTTGACCTTCAATGCCAGTATCTATTAAACTGGTATGGCGTCTACTGTGGTGAATTTCAGCGCAAATCACTACTCATAAACCAGATGCCTGCAGCGGATGTGTACCAAGCGATTTTGATAAACCTTGAAGGCATTCGATACCATCTCTCAACGCTGGAAGCAGCCTTGGACAGATCTAGCAAAGAGGCTACTGAAGGGGCCGTGTGGCCCTCAATCAACACCATTGCTCAGTACTGGAAAGAGTTGAAAGGCATTGAGCTTCGGTCCGAGATTGGTACTCAAGAAGAAAAGAAAAGATGATGTACGCCTCTGTCCTAGAATACTTGTGCTACTGCAATGTTATGCTTCCAAACCCGCGACGAGCAACATGGAAGAGAGGGCGGCGGGAGATGGATTGAGGCTTCGAGGGCTTGCAGTGTATTCCTTACGGACTGAGTTACTTTCAGGGTGTTGGATAAGTGATGGCTGGAGGTGCTAAAAGGTGGGAAATTTTGTAAGCGAAAATGTGATTTCTGTTAGTCTGTTCTGTTTATTGTTAGAAAAGTCTACGTAGAAAATGATGAAGGATGTGAATTCTATAGACTATGCCGGTTCTCATGACCTCGATTACTGTTGATAGAAATATTTAAATGGAATGGGCCGGATAATCTAAGGTTGTTCAAATGTATATTCCCTTCATAAGAAAGATGTTGCCTTTAAGGCTTCTTTACTAGTACTTAGTATAAGCGAAAGAGAGATGAGATTCCCTTTGCTAGCGTTGCGTAACTGCTTGTGGCCTTATGCTGAGATGGACGATGAGTCTTTCTGAGAGGGTTGTCTGGTTTCCTCTGATTGTAGTGTGGAAGATTTAGCAGGTCAATAGCAACAACGTGGAGCTGGAATGCAAACTCTTGTGTCTCTGCCTGCTCTTAGAGTATCGTTGGTTGAGGCAAATATTTGACGCCGAGATTTCAAAATCAAAGACAGAATCTGGAAGATGGTAGACAATGAGAGAAACTCTACGGCTGAAATTGAAGGAATTTTCTGCATTGTCATGCTTTACAGGCATCCCTAACTTTCTTTGCTCTTTTCTCGCACTGGTTTTGTCTTCAAAGGTTCTCTGACTTATGATATTTATTCCCGCCTCGCTGAACCCGACCACTCGGTCTTATTCAAACCCAAGACAAGCTCCTTCTTCTACTGATATTACTAGAAGCACTCAGAAAGGGAATACTTGACCATTCTTCTACATTTTGGAGGTTTAGCTCTTTAGTAAGCTCATAGCAGAGTAAGAGATGGCGGAAGAGCTTAAAAGGCGATGTAGAACAAGCAGATTCACGCATAAGAAGCCGGAGCTGTATCAGCTGCCCAAGAAAAAGTATTCATAGTCTTCTCACTGCTCACTACGACAACCTACTAGTGCTCAAGTAAGTACCTTATCTTAATAAACTTCAGCCCTTTGCCAACCCACAATGCTACATGCCTAAGAATCGCAGCCTCAAGGTTGATGAATTAGTTGCTCACAAATTAAGATGATCTATAAGCCCCCCTACATTGTGGAATACCACACTTCAAAACCCATCTCACTGCTTGCCAGGCAAGCTCATAACACACTCATTACATCTAAAGTCGACATTCATACCTCCGGCTTCCAACATGTTACGGCGTGCACGCTTTTCGTATAAAACTACATCTGGTAAACTGGGTCTCTTGACGTAGGGCAGCAGGTTTTCATGGGTCGAAGTCAACCTTACTACAACGGGGCTATGCTTCTGCACTCGACGCTACGAATTTCATTGGGATTTCAGCCTTGGGCACTGATGGCAACTTTTAGACGACTTGAAATATGCTACCTCGTTTCTACATTTATTTTTACTTTACGTGTACCCCATTCTCCTTAACTTCTCGAGATTATTCACGGTCCTCCAACAGATTACATAACTATTACAGCATGGTTGTCCTTTACCATATTTCATCAGCCAGAGACTCTCAATGTTTAAGTGGTAACCGGCTACGGCACGGGCAGCATCAACTGGGAAACAAACGGCTCGTATTCTTTCAGTGAGTGAGCGGAGCCAAGGTTGCTTAAGAACTCGGTCGTTGGAGCGAGGCCGTGATGTGACTGCGCGGCCGGACCGCGAAAAGTGGGTCCGGATGTCCGGATGTCCGGAGCCATCACGGCAGTTTACAAAGTCTGTCTCCCAGGAAGCCAAAGAGAAGAAACCCGCCATCCCGATTTTCGACATCGACAGGATTCAGCGGGGAGAAGTTTGAAGTCGTTGGTTTTCAACCCATATCCCAGCTGGCCAGACTGGAACACGGGTCGACAACCAACGCCGTCAAACAACTTTTCACATCTTGTGGAGGTTTGTTTTTTGTTTTTGTTTTTTGAGTTGATAGTAATATCAGTGATAATTACGCTTCACCTGCGATCGCGAAATGGCACCTGAGGAGATGGTTCCGTGAGCGGTGAAGCGCCTTGGTTGCGATTGTTCTTGGTAATGGTTGTTTGGTTCCAGGTTGTCTGAGAACCATCTCAAGATGCGCTCTTTTGTCTGTCCTAGCTTAACCAGAAATGGTGGTTCTACAAACAATAGGACGTGTGATTTCTTGTCGTTGTTGTGAGAAGCAAAGAGTAATGAATGAAGATGGGATTTTGAATGGTGTTTTGATGATTGACTCTTGAGAAAGGAAGAACAATAAAGAGAGTTGGATTTTTTGGTCTCTTGTTCTTTTCTTTGTGTCTTGTGGCACCCGAAAGAAAACGACTAAGCTGGTGGGCATCCCCTACCAGTCCAGCATTGCCTTCGGGTGTATGACAAGATCAAAAAGATCAAAAGATATGTTCATGATGGTGTATGAGTGAGGATGAACGGATGAAGAGCGTAATCTACTACCTCTGCATACATAACCGGGAAGTCTTCCAACTTATAATCTCTCTCGCACCGGCTATGATTATTTAGACTGCCATGAACCTTGTATCACCAGTTGCTATGGTTCGACGGCCATCCTGGGATGAGAACCGCAGCAGTTTGTCTCGTGTGCCTTGTGTGCATCATCGATTGTCGATAGAGGTCGGCAGACATCCCGGCCCACAGGCGACGGTAGATGCGAACGGCATGCCTCTCACCGCCGCTGGTCTGGGACGGTTCAAGCAGGAGGCTACGCGCATGAACGATAAGAAAAGAGTACTTGATCTCAATGCACAGTATTTTTTCTAGAAGAGAGCCTCAGACAGCCGCATAGGAAGAAAAAGATGAACACGATATTGCCCATGATATGTGTCGGCAGAAGAAAAGCTCTTCCGCCATAACAAACCTTGACCAAAACCAACACTGCTATATCAGAAGTATAAATACTCCAAAGTAGCAATAAACTGCTTAACTAAAATAATGAGATTCCTCTCTACAGCAAATGGAGGCTCGCCATCACGGTTTCTGCCGGATTCATTCTCCATCGTTAGAACACCCAACTTACTTTTCAGACGGACCAACTTTCTTTCCAAATCCACGAATGCGGCTCACTTCCACCTCAAATCCTTGCCTGTTTCTTTGGCCTGGATGCACAAGAGGGATCCAGTCGCCTCAATAGCACGTATCTTGAGCGTTGCGTGGCCCATTATATAGACTTTTGAGCGTCGGCTGTCCGAGACATCGGACACCGACACACCATGCGTGTTGACTAGCTGTCGCCTCGCCTTCTCCAGCTTGTGTTCGCCGAACACGACCGCATCCTGCAAAGCCTTGCTCATTTTGCAGAGAACTGCCTCCACTTGAACCTCTCTGTCACGGCCGGTATTGACGACGTTGGAGAGTTCGTGATGGACGCGAATTGTCTCATGGAGGGGTTCGCGAAAGCTGTGCAGCCGCTTTGCGGCCCTGAGCTGGACGCCTGACGTACCTCTCACCCAGTCCCACGCCGTAGTCCACCCAGAGACAACAAAGGCCTGGAATCTGTATGTGATTCCCCCTTTATTTGCGGCTGCTCTGGCTTCATCATGCTCCCTGATTGTCTCAGCAAGCACCCGCGCTATATCCTGGGTATCTTCGTAACTAGCGATGAGGATCTCCGTCACCTTGCGAACAAAAGACGCCTCCAGTTTTTCTATATCCGCAAGGTTATCCACCGTAGCCGATAGGTATTGCTCCAGGGATGCAGTCGTTGTGTCCAGACCGCTACCATCGGCCGCGGGTGATAGTAGCTAGTTCTCAGTAAATGACTTCTGCACGATCCCGACAGCAATCGCTTCCGGGCTTTGCGGGAGGGTACTAAGCTGGACCTCATTAAGGAAGTGGCGGATGTTTTCATGCATATACTCCACATGGTAGTAGAGGCTCGAGGGGGTCACCGTGGACATTTCGGCTGCAATAGTAGAGACTAGTTCTTGATGTAAACCTTGATCCCCTTGATGCCTCTGTGTCAGGCTTTTGAGCACCCGCAGGGACCAAGAAGCCAGAGATAGGATAGGCCAGATCGATTCCCAGGAATTGAGAACAAGTGGCAGCAACAAGCCCATCAGCGAACTCAGCAATATCACCAATCCGGCTAGAATACACATACCTCGTCTCAGTCTCCAGATGAATCCAGAGAAACCGACAATCACGAGTCTCGTCAGGTACCAGAAATGAAAGTCTCGGTGTGGAGCGATAAGCGCCGTCTCCACCACCAATGTGTCTCGGGTAATCTGAGAAAGTTGAGCCTGAGGGTGATGACATGAGGTCGGTTTCGTTTGCTGCTGCTGTTGTTGGTGTTCTTGTTGCCGTCGAATTTTCTTCTCCGCCTTTCGTATTATCTTGTCTAGACGCTTTTGTTTGTTATCGCTGGCATAGCTTTGATCCATCATGTTTGCTACCGTAGTATGTTGCATTGCGGCGGCAGGCTGTGGGTAAGTTGAGTTACTAAGATATATCTGCTAATTCTGGAGGGAACATGGTCGATAGAGACAAGATTTATAGATGCTCAAAGTATTGGGTTGTACTCTTGATGTAGAGCATGGCGGTATACCTTGTAAGGTTTCTAGTTCAACATCTGATGAAGTTTGAGACCTACTGCAGAAAACACGCAACGACTTTTTGAACTTAGATTGGAAAGACAAAGCTGAGCCATACCGTCAAAGACCTCCACGGTCTCTTACCGATTCTGACGCTGACTTGCATTGTTCCTGGTGTTTTCGAGCTGGAGCACAAGGCCAACCTGTCATTTCTCACCAACACCACATAACATCACACCATGAATTAGCATAGTCCTTTAATGACATACTGGCACCCCCCAGAAAAACGATCAATATAGCAGTGCATTTCAAAACATGGAAGCAACGGGAATACCCCAGGTAGTGCCAAGCACCCAAGCTAGAGCAACTCTTATAAAAGATGGAATTCTTTCTCATAACGAGTGCCGGTAACTATCGTCCATAACATGTTTTCCTTGGCCGCGATGACAACATTATGGTACAGTCGCCAACGACTGCTGTATACCATTATACCCCTCTTTGTTGCCGTGGCCGCCGTCTTCACCGTCCCCCTCATTCTTCCCACCTCTCGGGGCCCCCGGCTTATGCCAGAGCCCCTCCCGCCGGCTAAACCCTCAACAATGAAGATCTGTGCGGCCTTGTACGCACTACGAGCTGTCACCCCAGAGAACCCAGACAACGCGCCGACGCCATTTCAGCTTCTCAATCTGGACGCGTCAGCACCTCCCTTCTACCCGTCAGAGGATGCGGCGTTTGTCGGCGCGCCTTTATACGATCAGATGATTCGCGTGACGGTCAGGGCAGTTGAAGCTGTCTCGCAGAGACTCAGATCTACGACTAGGGGTCCCAAACGGCAGGGTACAAGGGAAGTTGAGTATGATGACGACGACGTCAACACTTAGGGACAAAGACTTAATAGGGCGGCAACAAGGGACCACTCTCACCGCCGCCAAGAGTATCATCACTACAAGCAACCTTGTGGCGGCGATGATATTTGACGATGGTGCGAGGGCAGAGTTTCTCACAAAGGTACAGCCTGAGATGGGTGGCTAGACGAGCAGGGCTAAAGTAGTAGACAGCCTTTGCGGCGAACTATGGGCAGAGATGGGTTGGACTGTGTGATTTTGTTAAAAACTTCAGAAAACCGAGAGGTTTTGGAGGCCGCCTATATCCGCCGATATCGTATCTAGTTGCATTAGCCCCTTTTGTATGTTTCTTCTCATCTTCTCGCGGTGATGGAATACATGGCTTTTCTGGTGCCGCCTGCTCTGTCGAACATTAACGTGATTGAAAAGTGACTACTTGGGCACAAGCAACAAGCTATCCAGCAAACCCTATCGGTATGGTACAGTGATTACAGTTTCTCCATGAAAGCACAGGCGCAATGAGGATGGGCGGATGTATGCCAAGCGCAAAAGAGTGTGGGCAAACAAACAAAACACTGGGAAAACATTACCGAGTGTAGTTTGTTGAGACCAAACTAAGTATGGGAACAAGACGTTAAGCAACGCTTGGAAAAGGACAGTATAACTTTCTTCTCTTAGACCATCAAAATAACCTCGGACTCACGACGATGTAAAAACTTGCAGAACTTGACAAGCACCAGCCAACTTCCAGCGAAAACCACAACAGATGGCGTACGGACTACGCACCCGTATAGTGACGGATTCTCTGAGTAAGAATCGCGGCTCTACTCAGACCCAAACCAGACCACCCTCCCCTCCCCTTCCATCAGTCTCATATTTATTCCGATGAAGCCAATCGTTTGCTAACCTGCTCTGCCACTTCCTCCGCTCCAGGTTATGTCACTACTCTCGCGGCCGAGCACAGACGTCAACAAGAGCAAACAAAGACGCCAAACGCAAAGATAAATCAGGATGGCTTACGTTCAGAACGGGCGCGCATGCTCTGGCGCAAACGTGAGGAAATAAACGCCGCTGGTACATCGAACAGCGCTCTGACGCTTTTGGAGAAGCTAGATCCAGGCTTTGAATACCTAGAGCATCTCGGCTGGCAGCACCAGCCGGATCAAACCAGCAGAGAGGAGCCGTGGTTGCCGTCGTGGGACAACAGAGGAGGGTTGGTGACATGGCTAGAGAAGCATTTCAAGAGATGGCGGCAGGAATGGGTTGATGAAGGGAAAATGGCGCCTCTAGGCGACGAAGATCAGGGTGACGAACAAGTGGAGGATGAACAGAGACCCAAAGACGATGAACTTGAGAAGGGGGGTTCCGGGACAAAAACAACAACGATAACAGGTACGGACATGAACAACACGGACATTGTGAGCCGAGATGAGATAGCCTCTAGAGACCGTGTCCCGGCTCTGAGCTCCAGCGACACCGGTGAGGTACGAAGCTCAAGGAACACGCCAATTCTCGTACCAGCTCAGCCCCCAGAAGAGCGTAAATCCCAAGCCCATCACAACACGGCACCAGTTAATACGTTACTAACGACCGCTGTTTCTCGCATAGCACTTGACGGCGCCGGTACTGGCACTAGAACTGGCAACCGTTTTGGCCGAGGGCAACAGGAGTTAAAGGAAGCATTCAGCCACAACAGTAACTAAGAGGATGGCGACAAGGAGGGATGGCTGGTGGAAGAGGGCCACGGCCGAAGACAGTCTTTCTATGAATGGTATGCGCAGGTGTATCGTCCCGCTCGGCGGATGCGGAATGAAAGACTAGGCTAAATATGTTGTTGCTGGGTCTTCTCACAACACGCGGAACACGGGCGGAGCGGGAGGCCAAGGGCATATGCCAGAGAAAAAGTTAGCCATCCCGTATATGAATTAATTGTTTGCTTGGGCTCAATGCCGAGGTACTAGCACGTTTATAACTGCTTCTTTTTCGTATGCAAGGGATGCTGCATAGTGAAAATAGAGTGGTCAGGAAGCGAAGCACTACTTTCTTCAAGCAACACAACTCGACCTCGTCGACAATATGTCGCCGTTGACCTCGTCTTGTTCTCCCGCCCCGTCCTTATTGCCTCACCCGGACGACCACTTCACAGCCATGCGATTCTCTGTCCTCATCCCCGTTGACGATCAGGAAGCCCATAGTTCCATTTCGGATGCCCCCAGTGATTCCGATGCAGCCCCTGATCCGGCAGAGGCCCATCGATTTGGTCATCATCCTCCTCACCATGTTCGTCTACAACAACAACAGCAACAACAACAACAACAACAACGACGACAACGACAACAGCAGCAGCAGCGAGTACGAATGCAGTCCCTCGAGCTTTGTTTCCACAGCGATTTCGTCTGCTCAGACGCTCCCTTATCCGTCCATCTCGCCGCCTCTCCACTCTTAACCTTTACTTCGACGCCCCTTTCCCTCACCTCTCCAACACCTCCCTATTACATTCACGAGATCCCCGACATCATCGACCTTTCCAGTCAATCGCATCATGGCGACGGCGGGCGTCTGTTCCGAACTCGATCGTTATATCTGTACGCGCTATTGTCTCTGTGTCTCGTATGCCTATGTGTTGGCGTCAGTATTGGCGTCACCATCAGCAGTGGTTTTGGCATCGGTAGCCCAGTATGGTTACCGCCTGTATTGCGCCGCACAAGTAACACACATCGTTCCATAGGCCTGAATAATACAGAATCGGTCGTCATATCACCCGCTGGCCGTCGATATACACTGAGTTTTACCGAAACCACCCGCATCTTGGCTCTCCACGAGATAATGATCCAAGCGCAGCGTCGTCGCCTCTCATCAACTTACTCCCAGCAAGAGGCGCTTGACCTAGTGATACCGGTGCTCAACGATATCGAGCACGTCGCTACCCAACTGTGTGGTGCCTTGGATACGTGGCTAGGTTTCGACTCCGTCGCCGGCGCTGGCGAGAATGACGCCATTACCCTTCTCTGCGACCACTTTCTCCGGCGCGTAGATCAGTCCCGCCTCGTCTTCATGTCCCTACGCGACTCGGAAGGCTTGGGAAGAAGAGGGGCTCTCGACGATGCTGCCGCAATCCACGTTGTCAGCAGACTGTCCACCGTTGCCGCCCTCATGAACATGAGCGCCGAGGCTGGCGTCGAGGCCGAACCCCGGCGTGGGAACGATAGTCTTGTCGAGCTCGCTTGTCTCGTTCGCAAAAGCTGGTTTGGACCTCACCAGAGACCTCAGCACGAGCCAAGGCTTCAGACTTGCCGACCGTGCGACTATGCCCAGGAACGCCTTTGCCATACCCCCGAAGCCAGGGCCGGAAACGGAGCCGGAGCTGGAGTTGAAGCCGAACTCGAAAGCAAAAGCCCAGCTATAAGCAGCTACTTGCATTTTGCATGTTCCCCCGACTTTCTCTATCTCGACGGGGTAAATAACACGACGGCATTCCTCCTTTCGTGGGCGTCATCCCAACTTGCTCTCCGTTTCGCTATCCTGGAGGCGCCGACACTCGACGTGGATGGCGAACCACTATTTCCAAATAATCAACACCCCTTCACTGAGGCTGACGACGTGGTTGATCTTAACCTCGAATTCGAAAGCGATACATTCGCCCTCGTACGGTACTTGGTGGAGTTTGCGGCTACCGTTGATGAGCTCCTCTCCCGATTATCTACTAACACCGTCTTGGCCGGGTCCGACCCTGAGGCCGTTGCTGCTATCGTCTCCAGCCGGTCCATGTCCGCCTCGACTCCTCAGCCGAGGTGGTGGTCTTTTGGATCCCGTAGCACGAGGAGGACTAGAGAAGAGGTTCGTGTGGCCCTGATTAGCCTTGTTGATTTTGAAAAGTCCCTTGGATTTTCCTACCCAGCCCCCATATCACATTCAGAGATGTGACAAATCCGTTGACTATGTGCGTCTTGGTACAACCAGATTTCCCGTGAACTAGTTGTAGACGTGGCCGCCGCCGCCATGGAGCTCGCCTCTCTCCGGAACAACTCACTCCTCTCTGCCATCCAAGCATTAGGTCTCGTCGCGACTAGCGTGGCAGCTGCATGTTCGTCTTTCCTGAATCTTTCGGCTGCCCTGGACGATATAGACGCCGGCCGTTACCGCCTCAACTTCACATCTGCCGCCGTCAAGCAGACTTCGAGTCCACAGCAGGATGTCGACATTGAAATATCGCACGTCAGTCTCAAAGGTGATGCGGGCGTCTACGCGGCGAGCCTCCAGGCCGAGTACGACGCCATGACAGCGGCCCTACGTGAGCGGCGGCGAGAGCGACGGCGGAAAGAATACCCAGAAACGCGGCCGTCAGAACTTAGACCAGACTTGGACGAGAAAAGTCGCTGCCGTAGCAGCACCATAAGGACACCGAAGAATGAGGCTTTGTTTCGCGAACTGGAAGGCTTCTTTGCGAATAAAAACCTTGAGGGTCTCATGGCCATATTCCAGAGCCCGAAAAGACCCTCCGCTGTCCCTAACGTTGATGATGAAAACGAGCGTGAAGGGGTTGACCACATCATCGCTATTAATGGCTAAGTTGGTAGCGAAGGTAGTGTCATCTTCCTTTGTTTTTGTATAGCGTATATACATTAGTTGCGTGACTTCGTCTATTCTCATAGGTACACGTGCCATACTGAATTGACCCTTCATACTGCTGCCCCTTGAATTCAATTCAAGCTCTAAAGAGGTTCATGCTGTTCTCATTCTTTGTGCTCACGAATCCAGACCGAGCAGACAATACCAAAAGAGGTTACGCACTGCATCATTCTCCTCAATAACGGAAGCCTCCCATACAGAATCGAGGTCGCTGACGAACTACTATACTACTTGATCTCGGCGGCGAAAGGCTTCCGCCCTCGCGCTTTGGGCTTGACTTAGCGGTGCGACCGACGCTATATCGATCGGCATACCCTCCGTCTCCAGGCTTAACAGCAAAGACAGCAGCAATAACGGGAATATAGAGGCCAGAAAAAGGATTATACAGACTGAGAGAGGCAACGGGACCGGGACCGTCTCACTGCCTTCGGTGTGCGCCCAGCCGGCAACGAATCGCTCGATGAGGTCAATATGAGCTGTCGCTTCAGCCTGAGATACTTCGATCGCGAGCAGGTCGAGGCGGCGAACGTTGTCGCACCGCGCTTGAAGATGTCCGAAAGACACACCTGCTTGCTGGGGCTCCGGAGACGGCAACGCATCTTCCACCTCAACTCTCACCTCCTGCACGCCTGCCTGGCCCTGTCTCAAGGCCTCGGTTTCCATCACCTTTTGAGCAACGGACGCATCGTCAATCTCGGGACCAGCATCCACGAGAACCGCTTCATCATCACCCCACCAGTTCTCATGGATCCAAGCATCCCTTACTTGATTGGGCCACCTAATACCGCTCTCGTTTAGCTTATAATCCCAGACCACGCTCAGGACGCCGTCCTTTACGTTCTTTTTAAGTGTATTTATCATACTCGACACCATCTTCCTACATATAACGGGCCACACAGCCGCTCGAAAGACCAGATCGAGGTCAATATTCATAAAACGTACCAGGTCGGAGAGACTTAGCTTTAATATCAAACGGCGATTTGTATCAAGCTAGAGCAGTCTCTTTAAGCTAGTCTCGGAAAGACGAAAGTAGGCGAGGAATGATTTCATCAGCAACCGGTCCGAAGCCCGCCAGGTCAGTTTACAGCGGGTATCATTCAGAATCTTGCCTAGAAGCTGACCGCGAAACGTGTACGACATGAGATCGCCTGAAAGCTAGAACGGTATTAGGTTAGCATTTACCTCTGCCTCGTCTTGCTTTAAGGTCCTTGGAAGTAGGAAGAATACTAAAAGGAGAAGAAGGAGGAAAAGAATAAGAGAGCTCTGGTGAGCTATATGAACTTACCGCCTCATCTTCCTCCCCCGCCTGGGGTGGCGCCGGCTTAGTAGAAGTCTCGTGCTGGCGCATTAGGACTTAGCTTTATAATCTTTTTGCCATACCCAAAGCCTTGTTTTTCGGAGATGAGTACACAAGATGACTGTGAAATTTCGTTTGATATAGGAGCTAAGCAAACGAAATGTCTCTAACTGCTCCTCTCATCACGGGACTAGCCCGGGGTGAGGCCAGACTCGTCTTTCCTCTACCCGCCCTTCGATCTCCTTTCTTCTCTTCTCTCTATCTCTTTTTTATCCTGTTCTGTTTCGCCAACTTCTCTATCCATCAACTTCTCCGTTCATCAATTTCACCATCCATCATCTATCTCTACTTCAACCACGTCGACACGGCATGTGCAGTTGCCCAGCATGACCCTCGTTCCTCGCAGCTTATTCAAAACACAACACGACTGGTTTCTAGAAATCACGAGGCGCAAACAACGCGATCAACTTAGCCCCGACTACCAGCGTACGTACGACGACTGGCTTGCTGCCTGGACGGCCATTGTTTCTTCTAGTCCATCGATGAGTTCACATTTCGAGGCCCCAGAGACGCCGCCTCATCATCAACCTCGCCAATCTCGTCATGGTTTCTCTTTGGCACCCGCCCCTCTATTCTCGGGCAGTCCTAGCGCCAGAAATGTCATGGCGGCGGACCTCAGCGACATTTCGAGCTTGCCCCGTGATGAGCGAGAGATTCCTACAGAGCTGCTCAACAGAAAGGCCGACGAGCTTCGGTCGCAATTTAACTACTTCACTGAGCAGCAGAGGTTAGCGGAGGCTATCCGACCGACCGCCGCCGCCGCCCAACCTTTCTCTAGGTGTGATGAACTGATCTCACCCGGAAGGTCGGTTGCCTATCCAGCCAACGGTGGCTTCGCCCAACACCCACTGCCCGACTATCAGCAGCAACATCAACAACGCACTGATACGGGAGTGGAAGCAAACAACAGTAGCAATCCGTTCCGATCTAGCAGCACAGGCAGAGGCAGTCAGAATCCCTTCGACATGCCGGGCGCGTTCGGCAGCGACCAGAGCCTTCGGGATTTGAGCCCGAGACATATCTTTCTCTCGACACAATCGTGCTTCCCCCTCCGCAACGCCAACAACGACGCAGATGACGGCCGTCCACAGTCGCACCGTGACCAACCTACTATGCCAGCCATACCGATCCTCAACAGATACCCCAGCCCACGGGAAGCGCGTACTGCGATCAACGGTCCTGAGACCGAGCCTGTGATTGCCTCAGACCGCTGGAACGACAACGACGAACGGCACCGGCTGCGGGCGTCAGTCAAAAATTACATGGAACAGCTGCATACCATCAATAAGCAATACTACGACGTACAGCGTAAAGCGAGCCTATACAGAGATAGACTCGCCCAAGTATCGATACAAGCGCAGATTTAGATGATCAGGCTGCACGGGTTCGAGGAGCGGGAGAGTAGGCAGGTTGACGAAGGTATCCCGCAAAACATTGTCGGAGGTGGTCTGGCAAGTGCTGATGAGAACGCGAGGAGTGATGCCGACACGAATGACGGTCACCGGGGAGAGGACCTGGGCAGCGGAGTGGCTCATGGTCGCGATAAAGAGACGGGCGGGCTGCCCAGGAGGACGAAGAAGCGAGGCAAGGGCGGCGGCGGCCAGGTTCCTTGGGATGGTGGACGTGCTACATAACACGGTAACACATATGGCTTTTGAGCAACGGCATTATCTCTCTCTGTCTGATTGATAGCGGTTGGGATGTGTTATGAGTAACCTGGATCAGGCGGTACGTGAACCTCGAACTACCTTAGTCATTCTCATGTTGGAGTGCTGTACCTCCCGAATAGACAATATCTGAAGGGGGTTTTAGAATGCGTTTGGAAAGCCCGGTGAGATAAAATACTCACTAAGCTGGTCCTCGACGCGTTTGATCGACCGAGCTTCGTCACCTGGTGATCACGAGCTACCATCTGTCTGTCCGAAGGTGTGTGTGTGTGTGTGTGTGTGTGTGTGTATGCCTGGGGAAGGGCGAGCGTTGGAGATGATATTGTAACGGAGCTTCATCATGGAGGCAAGCTCTTCCCGTTAGGGCGTGGTCTCTCGACGCCCACTCCTTAGAGTATAGTCGGGGCTTATGAACGGTGGCCGACAATAGATGTGTTGCTCTTCCTTGTTGCTAAGGAAATTCCTCAGCTAGGTATGACTGTGGGCTTGATTCTGTCGTATAGGTCCAGCTGAAGCTAGCTGATACGAGATAAGGATGAATACAGAACTTCCGCATCGCACCGTGGCATGACGTCCGGAATGAAATGAATAATAGAGGCTATGGGTCAGTGTTTACGTCCTTGTCAGACATGGGAGTTGAAGTTGAGGTGTTGGCAACTTTTAGTTAAATAAGGGTGCCTCCTATTGCAGCGCTTGCAACCATACCTTAGACGATTAAACAAGTGTGTATAGCCCTACGGCCAACCCATGGTCAGTACTACGCAGTGAGTAGAGCTTATCACTCTTGAGGTTTGATGGAATGTATGCCCACCTATAAACAAGGTGGTACTGACTAAGGCAGAAGTTCGAGGTCAGCAAGGTGGCGATGGTTTCACCGTTTTAGGCCATTGGGGGCCGTCGAATTATTAGCCCTGACCAAGTCTGAATAGAGATGGGGATAAATTTTGTTTGCCAAAGTACGCATACTTCTAAAGGTCAGATTTCTGAATAATCATGAAAGAGAGTAATAAAATGGTGTTTGCTTGTGGTCGAAGTTGTGGTTAGCTTCTTGAAAGTTGGCCGCACTTTGAATGAAGTCTACAGTACGAAGTACTTCGTGGTACTTGTTGTGTCTGCGGGTCATAACATTCCTCGCTTATATGTCCTAATGAAGTAAAGTGTGGCCCATTTGGCTTAGCGCCACATTTCTTTATTCTGAAAAGTCTGTGATAGGTGTTTAGACACTTGCAGGCACGTGAATACATGGATATATCGATACTTGAGTACATGGATACGTGGGGGTCAGTTGTCAGGCTATGATTGTTTAAGCGGAGCAGTAGGTCCGATGAGGCGTCTGTCCCATCTGAATTATAAGTGAGTCTTGGTCTTCTCGGCACTCGATAATAGGAAATTGCCACAGGTAAGTAAAGGATAAGCAGCTAGATCTCTATATTTTAGGAGCATAAGTAAGCTGTCTTATTATTAAATATTAGATATTAATATACTAAAGCCTACTTATAGTTATCAGGGGCACGTGATATTCCACGTGCTGGCCGTACCCGTATAAGAGACACCCTCGACAGCATTATCATCAGTAGGCTCAGTTAAGAAGAGAACCAACTGTTTATACCTACGTTTATCGATTCATCGTTGATTTTTGCCTTGTAACCGTTTGTTTGACTTCGGTACTGTTCTGTTTATATCTCTGTTCTTATCACGGTTCCGACCTCTGCCTGTTGTAGCCACGTGCTAGCAGGAAGAACTGTGACAATATCCCATCAACTGCGGGTGGGCTACAGGTACATAGCCTGCGGGGTTGTAGCCATTCAGGAACAGACAGTGTAAACTCCCTTCCAACCCCATACCTATTTTCCACTGAATTTGGAGAAATTATGGACCGATTTGTGGCTCATAATGTACCTGTAGCCCACCCGCAGTTGATGGGATAAGTCTTAGAAAAGAAGTATAGAATAGTTATACCTACTTAGAAATAGAAAACTTTTCAGATTATAGAAATGCATTCTAATTTAAATTATTACTACCTTGAAAAGTCGGGATTTTACTTATAAAGCTGTAAGTATAAAATAAAAATAGAGTTTTAACTTAGTTCTTCTTGTAGGCTGCTGTGCCCGTCCCAATTGTATAAGCACACGATCTCTCTCAGTACGCTCCATAGTTCAACCCCTTCCGAAGGTCAAAGTACATATATATCAATAATTCTCACCAAGCGTTTCAGTCAACCAAGTTCTAGAGCTCTTTTCATGCGCTCACCTTTAATACCACGTTATTATCACCCCTTATGTGAAAATCCTGTTTCTTGTTTTAGTAAACGCTTTAGGTAGGGCCAACATTACCAGCTAGAGTCACAATCAACTCCTCCACTTAGCAATCAACATTTCATCGTACTTCAGAATGGTTACCACCACAGTAATTACCAATCAAAGGCCTACAGCATAGCTATATCGTCCAGATCCTCACTTAAAATCCTCTTGACATGGCAATCTTAGGGACAAAAGGGGTGGCCCAGGTTGCTCACTATCAACGTCCACCGCTATCGTCATACCGGCTATTAATGAATTCGCTCGAGACCGGCCCCTGATATCAAGCACAACAGATGAGTATGTGTACAATTTTGACTTTTCATCTTTGGACTGCTACTTGGCAGACAAACCGCAATGAAATCCGAAACCTCTATCAAATTAACCGCAATGAAATCCGAAACCTCTATCAAATTAACCTTGGCATTTAGGGCAATTCGAGGATCGGAATGCAAGGTCGGTCACTTCTTTGAACAATTTAGAAGTTTATCTTTTGTCTGCACCATATACGGTCTTCCCTCTTTCAAAAATACTTTTGCAAAGCCCCTGGTTGCGTCCTGTCGCATGAAACAGATACTAGGTAATTAGTCTACTATCATAGATTTTCCCCCCGTAAAAGACAAATTTCGATATAAACAAGTCATAATCCGCTTATGTCCTAACATGCCTGCGGGCGGCTGTTTAGTCGATACGATAATATATGGGGTTATCACCAAAAACACTAGATGAGTCACGCTTCATTTAATAGAAGTGTTGTCAATAAATATCTTTTCCTTCGACAAACTTTGGTCGTATTACTCGTTGGAATATAGCCATTGGACCTGAGTTTGTATAAGACAAGGGGCTCTCCCATCAATGATTCGCGTACTTTTCTAAGTTAGAGGCGTTGCATAACCTACACAGGAGTTTTAATAGATATTCTTAGTTTTCTAGCAATTCATAAGTTATTAGGTCTTGATGCCTAGTGCTGTAACGTGAAGAAACAATATAAGTAGAAAAGGTCTCATCAATATAAGGGTTTAATCTTTGAGTGTATCTTAATGAGTCTAATTACCCGCAGTATAAAAGTCTAACTTAGTAGCTGATGGGAGAGGTAAAGCCGTTTTTGGTGTTCCCCTGGCTGAAACAATATGCTCTTACGCACTCATGCGTCACACACCGGTCACGTAAAATTTAACTAACCCACATTTTACGGGATATTAATTAACTTATCTTAGTGAATAAGGGCAGCTAGAGTTTTGATGGGGGGCAAGTTGAGGAGCAGGCAGGTAGGTTATGTAACATGGATAAAAGTATTGCTGCCATCAAAGGGTCAAATGTAGACGCAACACCGCCTCCTTAGTAGCTGAGAGTTGGTAGAGCCCAGAAATAAGATGCGCCCTGCAAGACTGTTGAACGTTGGTGTGCCTGTTTGCATAGTGAACAACGGTGTAGGAGGTAGATAGCCATACGCTTTGCGTGGCATAATAGCATCGTCCGACGCCCATCCGACTTCAACTCCACGTTTATATGTTAATTAGAACTACTATATGCTAGAAGCTATTGATTATAAAATAGTATTATTTACTAGATATAATAGCCCCTAATAAAGACTATTATTGATTTATAAGTAGATAGAAAGGAAGCGAGACGTGGGAGGAAGAGGAGGTAGATTTCAGTGTTACAATCTACCAAGACCAATCTCTAATAATTATAACCTGTCGCTCTTCACTCCACCTAAATTACTACTAATAGGAAGAAACAACAGCATAGGGCTTAGTTATTAACAACATACGAGGCCCGAGCAAATTCTCAATTTGATTAAGTATCTTTTACCAGCAAAAAGAAACGAAAACAAGAGAAACAAAACAAAACGACATCGAGAAAGTAAGCCAGACAAGCGCTACCACCATCACTAAACTCAATCATTAAAACAGAAAAAGAAAACATACAAAGCCGCCGCCAGTTACTCAACATAGTCTTCGTCCTCGTCATCCTCCTCGTCTTCACCACTAACAAGACTCATCAAATAAGTTTCTGCCGCCTGGCGGGCGAGACGAGCCGCTGTTGCCCTTTGGGCCGGAGTAAAGTAATCCCTCGCCCTGTTCAGGCGGCGCGACACACTTCGAGATGCACTATCGCCGGCAGCCCGAGCTGCTGCTGATGCTGTCGCGTACCCCCGACGGGGACGGGGAGCAGACCGCCGCGGAGAGTGAGCCGGTGGTGGAGGAGGCGGAGGAGGCGGAATAGGAGAAGGGAAAGGAGGCAGAGAAGGAGAAGGAGGAATAGAAGGAGGAGGAGGAGGAGGAGGAGAGATAGGGGTGGGCGTGCGACGCGGGCTCGCGTCATAAATGTCGCCGTCGACGCGGAAAGGGTCCTCGTCCATATATCCATCATTTCGGACGAGGGGAGAATCTGGTTCCACCTCAGGCAGCGGCAGCGGCAGCGGCTCCATCTCCTCGGGGCGCTCGGGGGGTTGGGAGCGGGCATTCTAGGCGTCCTTCTCCTCATCCTCAACACGCTTTATACCCTCCTTGAGGTCCCGAGTGGCCTCCCGCACGCTCCTTGCGGTAATGCTGTTGGAGCTCTGTGCTTGCACGTATAGAAAGCCGTTGGGCGGCGCCCAAGCATCGGAGAGCACGCCGGAGGAATCCAAAGCACCGGTTTTGTCGCAAACGCGGGCCATCACCTCCCGGCCTTTAGACAGCCAGCACCTGGTAAAAGCAACCATGTTGCTGACGGTGGTAAAGTTGGCGTAGTCACCAACTTGGTATCGGCGCGGGACCCACTGGCCTTCCGGCCACTGTTGGGTAAGGTATCGGATGTTCTCCGAATGCTTTTCCATGGCCTTGGAGTCAATGTGGCCGCGGGACACCATTTCATTATTCAGCAGGCGGCCCTGCTCGTGGACGTTTCGGGTAAACTGCCGAGCTCGGGCAATGTTGCCCGCATTGGTCATGGCTGGTTCCATCTCCCTTGTGACGAAGGAGGCGGTTCCCTGCGCCGTAGGCGCCTGCACAAAGCCATGGGTCTGGATGTATCGATTCTGGAAGTGCTATATACCAAAACAAGTTAGACAAATACGTCTTATAGTTGTCTTTAACATTGATAGCATACCTCTGGTTCCATCTTTCCTGATGTTGTTGTTGCTGTTGCTGCTGTTGCTGCCCTTCTAGAGAAAGAGAAAGGAAAAGAGAGGTAGAGAGAGAGAGAGAGAGAGAGAGTGTGTGTGTGTGTGTGTGTTTGTGAGAAGTTGACGAAGGTCAAAATATTAAGTGCAGGTAGGGGGAAGGTGAAGTCGAACCTACTGGACGCCCAATAGCACACGTGACTGCGCTCAACTCGTGACTTGTCCCTCTTGCCATTACTACTACCATCACCACCTCCCACGGACACTGCCACTCTACCTATCGACACTGCCACCCTGCCTATCATTCACAAAAGTTAGCTTTTTGGGTCCAGGGCGTTGAAATCTGGATTTGATGGACGGCATTCAGATTGCGCTTGCAAGCAGCCTATTTTCTATCTGATGACAATGCAGAAATAAATATTTTTCAAAGTCCGTGAGCAATTCGTGCCTAGCAGCTAAACACTACACTGCCCTCTCGTACAGCCATGAACCATTGTATGATCCCCTGCCATCTACTTAAACCATGAAGCAAATGGAAGAGATTTGGAGAGGGGAGAAAGGAGTAAGAACATAGGAATAGAAAGTAAATGGAGAGGAAGGAATGTTGCAATGAACCGCATCATCGTCTCCAGCTTGGTCTCCAGCTACGTCCCCAACTCTCGTCAGCTTCACCACCACCACACCACCACCACCACCTCCTCCACCACCACAGTCGTTGGTAATGCCTCTTGTCACCTCAAATACGCTCACCAACAGTGCTCCTGAGCTGCGCTGCCCAAATGGCATCGGCTAAGGCCGGCTTTCCTTCCCGTAAGGCAAAGTCCAAAAGCCGAGGCGGAGTCGGAAGGTTGGAGAACATTTCTTGGTCAGCATCCACAACGGCGCCACTTGGCAACAAGTAATCGGTCGGGAGCCATGGTCGCTGGGTCATGGCTCGTGCCCCCCGGTAACCGTTCGCCAAACAAGAAATGAGGCGACTTGCATAAGCAGAAACGTCGTAGGCGTCGTCGCCGTCAGAAGAATCGAGTTTGGCACCGACGCGAACCAAAGCTTGGACAAGGAGCATGGATAAACAATTGGCCATCCTAGTTGGAGACCAGCAGACGGCGTAGTGCAGAGCCCGAAGCCCTCGATGGTCTGGCCAGTCCATTCCGGCAAGTCCGAAATCTGCCATTTTCTGTAGGAGGCTGACGCGGCCGTTAGCAGACATGATGTGGAGGGCACTCACGCCATGAGAGTTGGCAAGGGGGACATCCCAGGCGGCACCGCTGCGAATGAGATTGAGGATCAATTCATCGTCCGCGTGGTAGGCGAGTGCAATATGGAGAGCCGTTGCTGATGGCATTTCTGGTCGGCTCCAGACCCTGTGGTGGTTTCTGAGTATGTCTAGATGTCGGGAGGGGTGCAAGCAGAAGCGGAAAGCCATATTATCGACTTGATCAGAAGGAAGCTTGGTTATGAGGTAAGCGGTGGTGGAGGTGTCGCCTTTTCTCGCGGCAATGTGCAACGGTGTGGCAATGGAGGGCTGCAACAATGTACTATTGTCAGTCCTTTTTTTGCCGGTTCCCGAGTCATCGCTGCCGCCTTCAGCTAAGTGGCTACTCCAGCCTCGAGGTTGCCAAGGATGACAACGACAGCCGGGCAGTTTGTAATGACCAAGAGGGGCGCCAGCCTCTACGAGGCTGCGTATGGTGTGAGTCCGGCCAGAAGCAAAGATGGTAAGGGTCAAGGGAAGCGGCAAAGCCAGGTGCTCTTGTCTACTGATAAGACATGACATGTTCAACTGATTAGGGTCGATGATGAGATGGCTGTCTTGGTGGATTGCGCGAGGAAGCATCAGGGGTGTCCCAAGGTCTTTGAAGATGTGGGCAACTCGAACGACGGACGCGAGGTCAGCGACGGAGAGTTGGGCAAGGATGAGGTCGAGGATCTCAAGGGGGAGTTGATCAAGCATGATTTGAAGCTGTCTTGTTGCCTGGTTTTGCCGGAGCAAGATGGGTATCTTCGGGCTGCTGGAGCGAGAAGAGTTAGCGGAGAGTATCAAGGAGCATCAAGATATGCTTGTTGGATGTCCATGAGGGAACGACAGTTCTTTACCGCCAAATGTAGGAGATTGGTGTACATGGGGGGAAGAGGTAGAGTTGGCATGCCCATTGAGTGTCGATGCTCACTGAGCAGGGTTGACCCTTGTGTGTAGATTGAAGGTCCATTGTGAGGTGGCGATGCCGAGTGACTGAGAAAATCGATGAGGAAACAGCCCGGTAGGCTACGCAGAGACCAAGAAGAGTGTACAAAGGAGAGGATGGCTCGGATTGGGCAAAGTTGTTCCGACCAGAAATTTGGGTGTAAAAAGCTGGTCGGAACGGACTAATTGTGGGGGGATAGAAGTACTGTGTACCTCATCTGCGGGAATCTTACCTTGTCCGCTACGCTTGCCTTGCTTATTGTAACCGCCTACCTGGAAGGAGGGGCTGGCGTCTGAGAGTCGTGGATGATGAAGGCAGCGTGTTGTGGTTGTGTTGGGGTGAATCATTGACTGTCAATTGTGGATTGTTGATCGTCTGGAGAATTCGCTGGTAACAGTCGATGTGTTTGTAACTTGCTTGCAGCGACAGGAAGTGTCGAAACGTATGGCCACGCAGCGTGTTTGTCGTTGTGTCTGGGGGGGGGTTGGGGTTGAAAGATATCGCTGGCAGCAATCGTCTTCTTTGCAGTTTGCTCGCGGCGATGAGAACAAAGATTTGATGGTGCATCCGCACTTTTCTGGGTTTGTCTATGAATGTGTGTGGTTGTGTGGTTGTGTTGTACGAAGAACAAAGTAAACGCTAAACACCACCGATTGCGTCTTGGTTTCTTCTAAGCCACGAACTGCCCAGTGGCCAACCATATGTACAAAAACGGTGGGGCTGTTTGTGGCTGACTTGCTCGTGTGAGGCGGCCAAAACCTACTTTGAACCTCACCCGTTTGTATGAATGGGAATGGAGGAAGTGGAGGCACTGGTGATTGCCTGGTTGGATGAGAGGAGGTAGGGGGCATGCTTGATTTCCAGGATAGGTCTGTTGCCACACGCAGCTTCCCCTTCTTGCTACAGCACTCCACAGTGGAGTCACTGCCAAAGACAGTCACCACGGCAGTCCTTCCCAGTCAGTCGGTCTCACTGGTCCACCATCTCCCTCTCTCTCTCTCGCTCGGCCATCTGAGATTCGCCTTGGACGAGGATGTCCTGACATGGTAAAAGAGTTCTTATATTTTGTTATCAATGAAGTCAGCTCTCCTTTTGGCTAGTGCTACGGCAATTTGTGCGCGCTTGTAACCATTCCAGTGCCATACAACATATGACACTTTGCCATCATCCTACGTCTCCTCCCCAGTACTCTCGTTCTCCCAGTCTCTCGCCTGTTCAAGTTGTTGCTTTAGGGCATCCACTTCCTTCTCAACACTCTCCAACGCTAGGATGATTCTCTGAAGGGTCTTTTGACGTTGCGCCTGTAAGTTTGGAAGTGAGTTGATCCACTGCTTAAGCTCTTCGATGGAGCGTTTGTCAGCACGCCCGCATTGGAGGAACGATTGCAATGTGTTCTGGCTCTGAACCAGCTCGCGATCTAGCTCATGGACTTGATGCACGCCAACCGAGGGGTTCGACCAGACCACCACGTCTTGCCGCTGAGCCCTGGGAACATTTGGTCGCGCTGCGAGGGCATTGAGAAGACTGCAAACACTCGTGAGCTCTACAATGCTCTGTTCCAGAACTTTCCTCTGCTGCTCCATTTGTTGGTCCAAGGCCATTTGTATCTGGCGCTGGATAGCCGCCTGCTGCTTTTTCCAAGCCTTCCAAGCTACCCTGTCGATGGTCTCAGGTAGGGGTGGAGGCACTGGAAGCACATCGATGGCACTTCCGGACGCGCTGGAGCCAACGAGGTCCTTTGCCTGACCAGTCGCCATGGTCATGAGAACACGGCGCCACATTCCGTAGTTTGTGGACTTGGGAAGCGATTCTCCAGCCACGAGATGGAGAACGGTGGATATGACGGCAATACCACAATCATTGGCACTCTGCAGAGGTATAATTGGCTGTCGATTGATGCTGAAACCTAACCCGAGAAGCGGCGCCAGAGTCTTCAGATGTTTGGCAATCTCTTGGTCATGGTCGGCTTCTTCTTCTGGAAGTGGATCGTAGAGATCTACTTGCTTGTTTACACCTTCACCTGTAGACGCGACGACAAGAACCTAGCGAGACGGCAGGTCAACAGGAATAAGGATCCTGGCATGTGGAAAGCTGTAGACGTCGCTGACAACACTTTCTGGAAGCTGTGCATTAGCTGTCCACAGCGCTGGGTCCACAACACGGAAAGAGAGGGGGTGCAACGCCGCAGCAGATTGAAGAAGCTGTAGCATCATCCGCTTCTCCACACGCTCACCGCGCGTGAGGCATTCGTAATTAATGCCGGCCATGTCTCGCTTTTTTGGATACTCCGAGGGGATGGAAGGCGAAGGCGATCGGTACCTCTTTTTGTGGTGGTTTGTCGTCTCCCAAGTCGGAGTGGATGGGAAAGGAGACGTCTGCGCTGATCTAGAGGTCGAAGGAGTGTTCATTTGAGCAGAGGTCTCGACGTTCTGTGTAGCAAACGAGTTAGGCAAATCACAGCGACATTAATTCAAACGGGCATGGATGAGGTCATCGAGTAATGGGCAAAAGAGAAGAAAACTTCAGCTCACAGGCGAATCAACAGGTAAGTCAGCCAGAATGGCCTCCAAAGATGGCCTGCTGTAGCTTGATTCGTGAAGAATACCGCTTGGTTGGGTCGCTTGATGAATGTCTTTCCCGAGCGTTTGAAATCGAGATAAAATCTTCCTGAGACAAAGTAAGGCCTCGTAGGATATTGAATCGATGTCGTGACCAGCGAGCCACATTCGTGAGCCACAGAGTTTGTCAAGGATGTCGTGGCATTTCGTGATCCCACGTTTTCGGCTAGCGATGGCGGACTGGCGACGTTGGCTGGAATTGTGCCGCATGAGAATGGGTTGTAGAGACGCAGAAGAATGATTCGGATTGTGTGGGAGTCAGGCCGATGGTTAGTAACAAAAAGAAGAAAAAAAAGACTTGATTGAAGAGTGGTAAGTGAAAGAGTTGAAAGAGAGACTACATGGGAAGCCTTTGGAAAATGCGGTGGGTCGTGGTAGTAAACAAGCACCGAGTGTGTAAGGCAGCTTCCAGATCCAAAGTGAGGCAGGTGTAACGAATGGTAGTTGTGGAAAGTGGGGACAGCGTCAGCTTCTTAATTACAACTAAAAAGCAATTCTGTATCCAGCTCACTCCCTCCATCGCACTACAAACTTTTCTTTGTTTCTGTTTGACGCAGCTCCTCTCCTTTAGATCTAAGCACGATGGTTTCCCCGTATCTGATCAAGTCTAATAAATACAAATTGCATTTCAGACAATGACCTAGGGCCAGCATGAACGCCTTCATGCTCTATGACAAGCCCATGAATGTGATGCCGTCTGGTCGGTGACTGCCTTTGGAAAAAGCCCCTTTGATGCAAAATTAGTTACTCAGGTGGCACAACAGTAGTATCTGCTTATTTTCCCTACATCTCATGCTAACGAGTGATAATGAAAGCCTCCTGTTCTGGTGCTAGATACTGAGGAGTACCTCTGCGGTGCAGTAGAGCCACGTTATCAGAGTTTCGATGTCCAGTAGGGAAAAAAAGAAGGAGGCGAGACGAAGGGAGGTGGGTAGTATTCAAGCAATAGTTGATTCGAACCGTTGAGTACGCCCTTCACTTTGTTAGTGCTGGCCCACTTGTGATAACCTCCGGCTTCCGCACACTGACTCGACCGTTTAAAGCTGGGAATGCCTTCCTGACTTTTTAGATCACAACACCTTAAACTCCAAAACTGCAACGACAAGTTTGCGTCTCATTATAGCTAGATGTTGGTATGTGTAAGTAGAAAATGTATCGATGATGTTGCGAATGGAGGCAGAGGGTGGGACTCATAAAGTGACGAGGAGGAAATTGAAATTTACACCTCTCCAAGACATACTACAACTATCAAATAGCTTCTTGGGGATATCTGAAGGGTTAGGATAAGCTCTGTGTTTTGCTTTGGTTTTTTTATATGAAACAATTACATATTCTGTGCATTATCCCACAATCACAATTAACTGCCTTTACACAGGAATATGTCGAGTCTTTGGTCCCCGCAAAGACCCCCCTACTTGGAAGAGTTAGCGATAATAAGTAGCGATACTATACAGCATTTGCGTCCAGTAAGCTTGTGAGAGCATCCCGCCCCGGAAGAGCACGACAGCTGTTTGCTGCATGCCTGGAGAGAATTCGGGCTGAACAACACCACTGCAGAAGTTTTTTCACATTGGCATGAGATACCAAAGCATCTACTGTATCTATAATTGAAGATTGGGCCTTTTTTCTCCTGTCTACGGTACGTTATTCGTCTTCACTCTCTGCGCAAGGCAATTCAGCTGGTCAAATATCGTGTGTTTGCCTCTCAAAGTGGAAAGATCCAATCGTATTCTTCTGATTTGGTTTCTCTCCTTCAAGAGACGGCCCTTCAATGTCTCACACAAGCTCAATTAAAGTTTTTGGATTCATTTTGAGGTTTTGTTTTTTTTTTTTTTTTTTTTCAGGTAAGACTATCGCCTAGGCTACTTTACAGGGTAGTATTGCAGCAGTTGTCAGCTAAACTTAATGTGAATTAGGTAGGTAGACGCCCCAGAGCCATGAATGCTATGGTTCAGATCAGTTTTCTGCATGCATTTATTTATAGCACCAAACTAACTATTAATAGTACTTGCATAACAGTGAGACGCCCGCTATAAATTTCTGCGAAAACGCTGCGCGGACACATACTTGGCTAATCCAGGCATCAGTGTTAGGTGGTCTCCTCTCCTCTCTTTGTTCTCCCCCTTCCAGACTACCTTCGAAAGCGGTCATTGTGTTTAGATGCTGCTGAGGCGCACACATAACCTGGCTAGCTATTGTGTCTAACGCTGGTGGTGAAATCTGGCGAAAGACTCTTCACTATTTCTCGAGTCTTCTAATAAAAAGGAAAATAAAACAAATAAGAAAATAAAGAAAAAGCAAAAGCATTAAGCCTTACCTCATCCGCTACAGTCACATACAGATAAGGTCCCCCCTACCAGGACGAGAGTGCACTGCGGCCTCCCATGGACAGTTCTTGCGAGACTATGTGTAGCAGATGTGAGTAAGGCGGAGCATTACACCCGTGAGAGTGGACAACCCTATTCCCAGTACTTGGTAAGGAGTACTGGGCCTTCAATACTACACAGAGGCATCCAGCCGGCAGACTCGAACCCAGAGGGTCGAGCGCTTATAGAGGTTAGCATGTGCAGGTCAGCTCTTTTTTCACGCACAGTTGACCGTTGGGTCAATTGTGCTGCTGGGGTAGTGACAGAATTTTGGTGGAAGTGATAGATAAGGGTAAGAGGAAGGATCTGAGGGAAAGAGCAGCTTTGAGAGGAAGGCGAAGAGCAGCTGTTGTGATAAGCCACAATTGCAGCACCAGCAATTGTGGGTCCACTTTTGTCACCCCGGGGCTGGTGGTGCTGGTGGGCCACTGCTAACAAATACAATGGCGCAGAAGCATCAATCGACAAAGCGAAAGGTGACTGCGCAATGGATTCCCACAGCTAACACACTAGGCAATGCAAAAAAATATGAGAATCTATCTCCCTTGTGCCTTATGCTGAATACACATTCATGGTTTGAATGACGTTGAAATAAACTTATGGATACTTGTTCGATCGTAAAAAGATTGTCCACTAGTTAAGCCCACAAGTATGGCTTAGCCTGAGTGGGACTAGTACGGTGCTGATAAGCGTTATCACTGCTCCACGACCAGGTGGTCCCCACTGCCGTACGCTGTCGCATCGCTTCAGAGGACTAATCCCAAGGCAGCACCAATCAACCAACATACACACCCCTAGACCTACCAGTAACACGGCCCATTTCACCCAAATCAGCACCCAAATCAGCGTCCTTGTTTTTATCAACAACCAAATTTTTCAACCATCCACACCACCACCGCTTCGCATCCTTCTCGATTCTCTCGCGGTTCGTTTAACCCGTGGAACTTATTTCTACTTTGCATCCTAACCGCCCTGATGTACGTCGTTCACTTGGATGCCTCATTTCCTCACTCCTCAGTGCCCACTCTCAGCTCCGCCTCGCCCTCATGGCCTCGCAGGCGCCCAGCCAGGTATTGCGTATATGCCTCCAAGTGCATCGCCCCAGTTCGAATAGGTCTCAGAAGTGTTTGATGAATAGACCTCCCTATTATCGTATTCATCAGATATGGCAATCCCGGGTCTGAACTTTTAATAGACCAGCTGGTTCGGAAAATATATCATGAAGAACCACAACCGTGACTGTGGACATCAACGGCCAGTCCTACAAAGGTGAACTGTTTCTTCTGAACAACTTTGATCTATTTACCGAATGCTGACCACAGTCCATGACAAGGAAGGCCATCCGCGTCCGTTCAAGCTGTTCAAAGTCATCTCAAATGTCTGTTCACCGACCATTCGCGGCCACGAGTCCCTCGATAAGAACCCAAATCCAACATGTTTGCCAGAAACCGGTCCGAATACCAAAGAATCGAGTACCAAGATGATACAGCCAAACGAACCCACCGCACGAACGGCCCTGCCCGAGACGAAGAAACATACTCGATATGGTATTCACATCGCTGAGTTTGGCTAGAACGGGCATTCATGCGCGCCCTTCCTTTTGAAGCTGATCGTGGATGCGGAAGACAGCTTTTCGACCAGTTTCCGGAAGACATGATCGTCTTTCCATCAGCAGCCCCGCGATATTGAACACGTCTGCCACGAGGACAAGACAAAAGCAGAAACATGAAGATTTGAGAATAGCGGCAGTTATCCATATCTCACAAAGCTCATTGACCCATTACATCGCAGATTACAAGTATTCACTCGAAAATAAGGCGACTGTTTACGGCGGATACTTTCAAGGCGGTCACTGAGGGCGCGCAGTGTCTGGATCTGCCAGTGCTGCTTGTTTTAAGCGCCTGGAGCTACATAAATATGTGAGTTCCAACTCCTAAATGTGCGCACTCTCACGAAGAGACAGGGTTTCCAAGACGGCTTGCTCGACATGTTCTCACGACCAGGGTCTCGAGATCATTCTCTGAACGGCAGCGCATGGAACGGGCACCTAGTATGGCGTTGAGAGAAGCTGACACCCACAGAGTGTTGCTAGTAGGTTTGACGGGCTTCTCCAGAGTTGTAGCAATTACACACATACAATTGTTTGCAGTAATACAGAACGAAGGCATTGTGAAATGCTTCGCTGTGGTTGTGGCCCAGATGAATCCTATCAGTAGCGACCGATTGTTCGTCGATTTTGAAGAAGATGGGCTGGCGATAAGTAGTGCCCCCAGCCCTACTTTTCCAGCGACTAAATGACAAAAAGACAGCCATTGGCACCTCAACAAAGGTTCCAGGCTTCTGATCGTCAAGTGCAAGCTTCCGTCCTCCATGTCTCAGTCCCTTGCATCTTCGCGAAGCGTCAACCCATCCAAGATGACAACGCCTAAAGCAAAGAAGGCATGCAATGTTCTCACATTCTCGTCCAACCCCTCCTTATACCACTTCACCAGACAGAAATCGCCGTCACCCATCCAGTCGACGGCGCACACGCTCCCCTATCAAAGCCAAGCCGAACAGGACACCTTTCTCAGCCTCATCATCCATCACACGGCCAATCTGACATGTGCCCGACAAACGACGAGCAGGTCAGTTTTCCAAATCGATTATTTCCAATTCTTCTAATTCAAGGCCACTTCTGACTCCAAAGGTATCGTCCAACAGCGTGTCTGCCGCTCCGAAATCGAACATCTCCGAATTCCCGGCACCCACATCTCTTTCGCTCCCGGCTGCAAACGCCGCATGTGGCAACATGTGATTCGTTTCAATCTCTCCCCAGCGAGCGCCGGTTTCAAGGAGTGGGACAAGATCTCCAGCGACCTGTACCTCGTCCGCCCTGATGGCTCGTCCTGGAACACCGGTTGGGATTCGGTAGTCCACCGCAAAGTCCAGAACGCATTGGCTCGATGTGCCTCCGAAGCCGTGCGTCTTGGTCTTGTTCGAGAGTTAGATGGCGATCGAGTGTGGCAGGACTGGACCAAAGGCTTCTTAACTCCCGAGTGGGATGGCAGTTGCTTCGACGAGAAGTATGCCCGCTCTTTGCTGGAACAGAAAGCCGACAAGAAAGACAACGAGCGCAGACAGTTACATCGTTACGAGGCCGAGATCACCGCCCTAACCGCTCAAGTACAAGGGCTAGGCCAAACGCCTGTCGTACCTCCGCGCCAGAACGAAGGCGAAGAGCTTGGCCGGCGTCAGCCCGCCCCCGCTGCTCAGCACGACCATGACGTGGACTGGAATGCAAATGACGATGACAACATCCTGCCTGGTGATTCTGTGACGAGAATTATCGTTAGCAGCGGAGGAATATTCCCCCCCCAACCTCGACCGGTCCCGGTTGAAGCCCACGCTTCAGCACTAGTCGCAGCCCCAAGCTTGGCCTCGTTGCCGCTACGAAATTCCCGGGATAACAACGCAGCCGTGGTTCATTCTGTCCACGGCGTGTCCCCTACTCCCAATAGTCTCGACGTAGCTCAATTCTGGACTCGAAAGTCTCTCGCGGAGCTTGAGGCTATGCTTCGCCAGGGATGGGCTCGACTATTTGATTTACGCATCCTCATGTTCGAAGCACGCTTCCCGCGGGAAGTGGATGAATGGCACGATCGACAGGCCAACCGTCTTAGCATTATCACAATTAGAAAGGCTCGGGAGAGGCTATTGGAAGAGATATTCTTCATCGAGGATATTATTGACGGCCGCCGGCAACCTCCCGGCAGTTATCCCACGCCGTATCCGGCGTCAGGTATGCTGTGGAAATACTTTCTCGGTGGCGATCTTCCTTCCCAGGTAATGGAGAACAGAAGCCTCGGCGCACGAAGACACTTTCTTTGACACCTCACATCAATGCCTTTTCATGCATAACTCGCCCACGACTTTTTGAGTAGATCAAGATGTACGTAGCAAATCCCAGGGAAAGGGGGGGAGTATACGGATTGATGGTGAGAAGTAGTGAGCAACAATCATTGGAATTGACTGATTTCACTTTCTAGAGCATTTCCATCCCTTGATACCAGACAAATTTCCGTCAACACCCGATTCAAAGTTTCCGATTGTCTCTTACCAAAGCTCCGCTCCGTCCTTTCCCAGTCTGCGTCTTAGAGATGGACATGAATGACCGTTACGACGCACTTTCGGATCGAGGCTTTCGTTTGCCCCTCCGCCAAGCCAAGAACATTTTCAAGTCATCCTGTGCAAAGGGCTTTGTTCCAGAGATAGTCCCAGAGGACCCCTGATCATCAGCAGGTCCTGCCTCCTTGTGAGACTGCTGATATTTAGCCAAGCTTTGATCTTGTCTTTCGTCAAGCGAACCACGGTGATCCACAGATAGCATCTCCTTGCCTCGCGAGTAATCACCGCCCAGCATGATCCTTTCTAGTTGTCCATCAATCGAGCCATAGCCACGGGTAAACGACAGTCTCGACATACTCTTCGTCATGTCCGGCAAGGACTTTCTCGTAGTCGGGGAGACATCGTGAGAGCGATCAAGCGGGTATTCTGAATCCTCGAGAGGCAACTGTGGACTATGCTTGCGCTCGTGCGAATTCGTTGCAGATGCAGGTTGTTGGGACGTAGACTGTGCAACGGGTTCTTCCCATGGGTTCAGAGACGGTTGCCGGTTGATGATATGTGGAATCACCTGGTTCAAGTTAGCAAAGAGGAAAGAAAAGCCTCAACGACAACCAAACGAACTTGATGTTCCTGCTCCTCATGGCGTATTGGAAAGGTTTTCCACTCTTTACGATTCAAAACACCCATTAGAGATCTACGGTTCACCCACTCTTCGGGCCATGCGGACTCCTGCTCAACCTCATCGTCTCTGCCCTCGACAGGAGCCAGAAGCTCAAACTCTGGCTGCAGCAACGCGGCACGCCCAAGGTGCTCCTCGGTGATGAGGTTTCTGTTAGGATGCGGAGGATCGTCGGCGTGATACAGTCTTTGGATCTGGCGGGCGTACTGCTCCCAGAGCTGGCGGCCAGTTGGTTTGACCATCTTCTTGGTACCACTCGCTAGTCCAGGGGAAACAAATGCAATGGGTCAGCTCTCTTGCTGCTGCTGGTCTTGCTGCAAAGAAGCAGATGGAGGGAGAGGGTGAGGGAGAATCACTGACGTTCTGGGAAGATAACGCGCTCCACGGTCAACTTACCGCAGGCAACGGACTGAAACACCATTCATACAATGTACCGGGCGAGATGCTGCGTGCACTTTTTTTGAGTCGAACCCAGTTGGCGGTTTCTGAGTGTCTTTCGTTTGAGGACAGTCGAAAACATTAAACGACTTACCAACACCCTCCGCAGCACGGGTTTTGAGCATATATGTGGCACCGACTCTGCTGCAGACTTTGAAGCAATCATTGTCTTGTCAAATGCCATACTAAAGCAGGCTCGCTCTTGGTGATCTAAAGCCACTTTGTTCCAGATGCAAAACGCACATCTACTGTAATGATGGATCACACCTCCAGCAGTGGTACCTTGCCCCCTATTCTTCATCCAACCGGCATATTCTTCTCAGCGCCACCGTCCGATCTACTCCAAGTCCCGTCAGTACGGACATGAAGGCCTGGTCGTACGTGGTGCGCAGGTTGGTGTCAATCAACACGTCACCAATCTGTGCCCAAACCTCGCTGGCCTTGGGCTTGATCGGCGGCGAGGGCGGGAGCGGGAGTGGGGACGGCGGAAGCCCATGGCCGTTTGCCACATGGTTTCCAGACTCTTCATTTCCCTTGCCGTCTCCCTCCTGGGTCTTCTCTTCATGCTGCCAGCCGGAGCTGGTGCCGTCATCCGCCGGGGCACTGTCTGCATAGTAATCACTCTCCACGCGCTCCCGCAACGCCGCCCAGACTTCCCCGATCCCTGGGTTCTGCGTCGCGTCCAATCCAAGGGCTTCGTATAGCGTCTGAACCCTGGTTGCCGAGCTAAAAGCTAGGTAGTCCTTATAGACGTCGCAGATTCGGGTGATGGTTGCTGCAGCACACCGGGGAAAAAGACTGTCAGCTTTTTTGCGTTTGAAAACTCTCCAGGAAATGAAGATTCAGTTGCGGCACCAAAGATGTTCGTTTGCTTTGATCTCTGCATCTCTGGTTCTTTGCAAAGGGTGTACTTCAAACTCACTGGGGTGATCGGGACTGGTGATGATAGGCACGGGCAGTGGTGGACTGCGCAGTCGCAGCATCCAGAATGCGATGGCTGCGACGCTGAACGTCAGGGCTGTCATAATGATGACCCTTTTCATTATCACTTTGGTCTTGTTGATTTAATACTGGCTGGGGGAGATCCGAGAGTACGCGATGCGAGCAAAATGGTGGGTGAGAGGTGGGTGACGGATGAGATGTCTTGCTGCCAAAACATCATGAGATGGAGAGCGCCCTCTTTCCCATGGCTGTCAAGTCATGTCTTATATTTCCTTGCCGTCACCTCATCACAACCTCTCTGTCTGTATTTATGACTCCTTCTTCTACTGACCTTCAATCATGCTGGTGACATCGGCTGTCTCGGGCGATCCGGTGCCATGACAGTTGGTGTTTGCCTTTGGGAAGTCAGCATGCGGAAACCCACAGAGGCAAGTAACCAGAGGAGAGGAGAGACAGTCTGAAACTCTTCGATCGTTTCTGACGGTGGGGAACTCATGAAAGACCTTTGACATGTCTTGCCCTCTTTTTTCTTGGCTGTTTCGGCCGGATGGTGGACTCAACCAAGAGCCCGTTGAGCAAATCAAGTGAATCAACTTGTTAAGAGTTCAAGATGTGGCTCGAATCGAATCAGAAGCCAATGAAAATAATCACCTCCCGTCAGAGTTTTATATCTATCTACATTCTGAGATTCAAACTAATGCTCTTTCGCGTCTATGTGCTCGTCATCTCTATTGAATTCTCGCATACCATGGCTTCTTCCAACCCCACTAGTACCCAACATCTCGTGATAAGTGATCAAGTGGCTGAGTTTATCGCTTCTCGACCAAATCCTACCCCTTCTCAAGTTGCTCTCCTCCAACGACACCGAGAGCAAAAGGCGGCCCACGCAGCTGCTATTGGCGCCGCTAGACCTAGCCGTGGTGCTAGCATCGTCAATGGGCCCCACGCCGGTGCTTGGCCCGACGCCAACAGCGATGTTGCATCTCGTCTTGCCAGCTCTGGCTTCACCAGTCTGGACTCCAACACACGCTGGTCGGTAATGGAAGCTGGGGCGCGAGAGAAGCTTGAACGGGTAATGCGGAGGTCTGAATACCAGTGGCGGCAACTTCCATACTCGCAGCAGCAGCAGCAGCAGCAGCAGCCCTACCGAGTCCTCCATCGTGCTCGGGCTCAGACTCAGACTCAGACTCAGACTCATCAGCAACCCGCCCGTCTACCTCAGGCTCCTCAGGACCAGCAGCACCATCAACAGCAACAGCTCACTGAGACACCCGAGACACGTCGCCACGGTGATTCCCGCCAGATTCTGTCACCCGCTGAGGAAGCGGTTGAAGAGCTGATCAAAGCTCAACGTGATCACCTCATGGCAGCTTTGGAGATCGACTACAAGCTACGCGGAATCTGGCTGTTGCGGAATGCCTCTGGTCAGAATGGCGAGGTACATGAGGACTCAGAGATGCCAGGCACTGAGAGGAATTGACTCGCCATGTCTCTTTGTATTCCCTTGTGTTGTGTTGTTGGTTTTGTTTCCTTTCCTTCGCTTTCCTTTGTATTTCTCATCTTTGCTCTCGCTTTGGGACAAGAGCGGTAAAAACGATGATTTTTTGCTTGATGCGGAAACATTTTGGTTGTTATTATTGTTGTTGTTGTTTTGAACTCGTCTTGTTTGTTAGGCTTTCTGTTTGTTCAATCTCGAATGTTTGGCACGGGGCACCACGCGGGGATAAAGATAAAACAAACTTGCTTAACCAAATCGAATTCACTCTTCAACCAAAAATTCATTTTTTACATTCTCCCAATCTCGCCCAACCAAATCGTTACAGGCTACGAGGCTAGTCCTGATGTCGGACAGTCGCTCCGAATCAGACTCTGCCTCTCACGAGAGCGAATATTCTCCTCCCGATTGTCACTCCATCATATTCACCATCTCACTGCCTTATTACGTTGAAAACAGCGATGATGAAGATTCGGAGCAATGGAATGAAGAGAAAGGACCAGGACAACGACAATTTCTACCACGGAGACGCGACAGCCAAAGATTAAACCTATGCTTCCACCGCGACTGGCACCCAACAGTAAGCACCCTCGAGTTGCACTTTTCTGACAAAGGTATCCAGACATCCTTTTCAGGCCGGCCACCGCTGCACAAAGAAGACACACGTATCCTCACACTCGAATGCAATCGAATTACGTTCCCTACCTCATCTGTGCAGTCCTCCTCCTTCGAGCTATATAAATGGATTCTGATTGCCGCCGGGCTCTACTTTGCCGCCGTTACTCTCATCATGATTGCGGTGGAAGTCTACGTATACTATGACGTGTCGGTACTGAGGTCCATGGAAGAACGATGGAGAGAGATTCCGCTGTCGGCGGAGCTGAGCCGCATCGCGCTCCTCTACGGCAACGCCGCGTCGTCGGTCGTCAATCTGACCGAGTCCACCGGCTTGGTGCTTTCGGACCTGATGGACAAAATGGTCCCATTGTGCCGCCATGCCGATCTTCTCCCGCACAACATCAGAACCGTCTGCGACGAATACGACGCCATCCTGACCGAAGCTGTCGGATCCCACGCAAGGTTGCAGAGTCAGGCTTCTTCTTGGACCTTGGCTGGGGCACAGGATGGTTCGCGGTTGAAGGATTTACTTTTCTGTTGGCATGACATCCGCTCAGTTGATCACGACGACGGCGCCGACGAGCCCGACGCGGACGCCGTCTTTTCGTGCGTAACGAAGCTGCTGAGACGTTGGAGAGATACAGATAGCGGCGTCATATTCTCCAGGGCTGGGGATCACGCGCGTGAGTTGGAGTGTCAGCTGCGCGACATGAGGTCCCGTCAGGGTTGGATCATTGACCCTTTCGAGAGGTTCATCCAAGGGGGTTCTAACCGGAGTGAGCCCAGGGTCTTTCTACAGACAATCTCGTCGCTCCTAACCGCCGTGAAGAAGAAGACCGAGCCAGAACTCGACGCGCTGATAGACAAGATGGAGGTGTTGCAGGAGGCGATGGATTCAGCGAGGACAGAGGGAGCCATGCTTGAAGCGGAGCTTTTGGCGCTGCATGCCGTGGGCTGGGTAACATGGCCGATGGGACACGCCGTGTTGTCCAAGTTTCCGGCCATTGATCGGATGGTGGCAGATTTGGATCAGACCATCGGGGTGCTCGAGAGGAATAAAGCTTGAGGTCCATCACGCTTAAACACACAACCACCGATATAATACCAACTACATACAACCTGGGTCTCTGTTCCTTTCCCATCTCCTAGTTAAGTATCCTATTAGCTCATTCTGCAGTCTGCAATCCCACGTCTCAAGTATCTACGTCGATATTAGGTAGCTAATTCCCTAGTTTATTAAGAAAAAGTTGAAGCTATTGGGATATATATACAATACAATACTGACAGATATGGACATTAACCAGAAGGCGTGCCAGACTTCCCAAATGTTCAGACGAGTTTAACACTTTGGATAATGCTGCTGAAAGCTCTGCAGGTAGCTGACGCTCAGGTCTCTCGCCATCTTGCTCCACCTCTGCAAGACTTCGCTGTTTGCATGACGGCCTAGCGTTGACACTTCAGTCACTAGCTCTGCGGCAGCCTGTGCCATCTCCCCAAGATGCGCCTCCTCTTGCTCCATGGCCTTGAGGAGCTTGGCGGTCTTGCTCGCCCCTTCGACCAGCACGTTACAAACCACGTTGGCCTTGGCTTTGCGCCGTCGCCACATGACCAGCTCGTTGCGTATCACCTTGGCCTGGTCCATCCACGATTGGACATCACCTACAGTCTTTGCCTTGAGCGGGCTTCTGCCAATGAGGGGGACGCCCTTGAGTTGCCACCAGGGTGTCGCTCTGGCATCTGCGCTGCTGATGCTGGCCTTGTGTTCCATGTCTCGAAACCGTTCGGTCATGTCCAAGATGCCGTCGCCAAGGAGGTTATTCCAACTGCAGAATCCAGACAGAATTTGCGAAATTTCCTTGTGCAAGCTTTTCATCTCCTCGACAAACTCTTTTCGGCCAGTAACCTCCCCATTCAGCACATTAGAGGCCTCCCGAGCAAGTTCCTGCAGGGTCTCTGACGGTGGATGCGGTAGCTGCTTGGGCTCGATCAACAAGTTCCAGATCCAGCCAGCACTGAACCTAAGCGGTGGTGGAGGTATGAACTCAGGCAGCTGGGTGGCCAGGTCGTTTACCAGACCAATCATTCTCGTCTGGGCACGCTGCGCGCTGCGCGTCTGTTTGCTCCCAATGTCTTGCAGTCTGCCTGCAACGGGGCCTGCCTTACACATGACGGCAAACGCCTTCCGCTGTTTGTCCGTCATGTACCCTTGCTGCTCTTCCGCCATGCTGCCAAGAAGATCGCCGAAACCGAAGAGGCAGAACTGGCGGTCGGGAGATCGCACGAGAAGTAATTCGGCTGGGGTCAGAGGGGTCAGGGGGGAGGTCGATTTTGTTGTTGCCGGAGGCGTTATGTTGATGCATGTGCTGCCAAAGAGGACGTTTGGGAGGATTCTGTCGCAGGCCCAGACGCGGAGAGCTTCAAGACCGCCTAAAGAAATGTTGACGGCACATACGACGACGAGGGCGAAGAATGCCATAATGACGAGGACCACGCAGACCAACTTGATGATTTTGCACAAAGGCTTGATAAATACGTAATACATGACGTTCCAGATGATAACAAATACCGCTCGAGCAAAGGATGTAATGTACCAGCCGTCGTCTGCCGGTTGTTGTCCGTCTGGTTCATGGTCTGGGAGACAATTTACACGGTCGTGGGTAATTTCCTTCGGTCCATCTCTCAACCAGTTTGCCTTGAACTCTGTCCGAACATTAGAGGCGCCTCCAGCGGCGACTGACTGGGGCTGATATTGTCTGGGCGTTTTCGGTCCTCCATGCTTGGCCGGCTTCGGGCTGTTCATCTCATCAAGGATCCGCTGGTAAGCGGCATCCATTCTCTCTTCGCTGATGGGTCCCATGGCCGCATAGACGGGATACTTGGGGCGGAGATGCGGGAATGGCACTGAGGCAGGGAACCAGGAATGCTTTGTCGGACGGATGTCTTCCAGAGTGTTTGGATGGGTAGTCGGCGCTCAAGAGCAAAAGTACGGCCTTATCCCGGGTTTTCAACGAAAAGAATAAATGGTGTCCTATGAGCTTGCTGGATAATCCAGTTTCTCCCTCTCTCTTTTCTGGAATATATGTGCTTCAATTACTGATCCTCCAGACCTTGTGTTTGGCGTAATCAGGGCCTTTTCATTCATCTGCAGCTACCCGTCTCGGGAGCCATCCATTTTACTGATTCACTAATCCGGAGTGTCCAGGAGTAACATGTGATATCCGTCCCCTTCCTTTCATTCAAGTAGAGGCGGCTGAAACGACGCTTTTTCTCTCTGAAAGAACCTCAAAAGAGGATGCGTCAACCGGGCTACCCTTTAGCAGACGTGCTCCGGATGAGGCATTCCCTCACGTCTCATGAGGAGTTACCCAGTAAAGGGCAACGTTTCAGTGGCCTCTAAAAACGAGCATCACTAAACGATGTGCCGCAGAGACAATGTGTCGCAGAGACATCCTGTGGCCACGATCCTGGACAAGAGCCAAATCGCCAAATGCCAATCTGTCCTAGTATCAAGGGCGTTACTAGTCGCAGTTTACCCCAAAAAAGAGAGCTAGCCATCGACCTAGCCGAAAACTGATAACAGTAATGCCACCTCTGGTAACAGAGATAGCAGGTGAATCAAGAGCAATTCCTGGTGATTTATATCTGCCAGGTGAGAGATTGCCCAATCATGGAGATGAACTGGGCGCTCTGGTAACAGAGAGAGTGAGTATGCCAAACTATACTTCTCAGTAATGAGAAAGATTAAGAAAATACATACCAGTCCTGGTGATCAAACTCTGCCAGGCTAGCAAGTGAGATGGTCCACTCATGGAAATGAGTCGGGCCCTCTGGTAACAGAGACCATCCTGCGATGAATATCAGATATCATGAGCGATGGTGTGTGGCTGGCCAATAATGGAAGCCAATATCGAGATGCGACATCACTAAAAGTGAGAAGTCCGAGCAAAAATTCTTTCATTTCTCGCTTTTGAGGTGCTTTTAAGTCAGATTCAAGGGTTGATGGGCAGCTCACGTGGTGGAATCCGATTCCTTTCATCTGTCTCAATTTCGAGCAGTTTCTCGCGCTTTCTCCGTCTGTTTGTGTGTTCATAATGCTGGACGGGTTGAATGTCAACTTCACCGCCTTTGAAATACATGCAGGTGTTTCTCGCGGTTTGTAATAGAACATTCATCATGAGATGTGTCTTGGGCGCTGGAGTCTCCAGGCGTCATGGTATCCACACCCAACATGCGTTGGAAGAGACAGCAGCAACGCCCCTCAAGTTGCTGACTCCCGCCCTTCGTGGCCGACGTCATTAGTTCCAGGTGAAGGACCAACTAGACAAAGAAAGAGTGATTGGTTTGCGGGGTTCCTCGTCTGGCCCTAGAACCTCACTGCGAATGCGATATACGTACGAACTGACAAGTCCCTACAAGTTCATGCGAGCATGCAATAGCCCGTGTTGTACCGTCGTTGAGAACTCATCATGTTGTGGCAACCTTGAGGCTAGACGAACGGATGGCTGAGCCAAACCACGCCAAACCATTTCTGAGAGCAGGTTCATGTATGTTCCCTTTACGCGCGATCGAGCCTCTCGTTCATGTACCGAATCCGGTTTTCTGGCTACCTACAGACGTAGTAGGAAGATTTTGTATGTGTAGATTTCGGCAGAGAGAATGGCAGCAGGGCGGGCGAGTTGTTCGTTTGCTTATTCGCATGGCCACGGCAGCCAGCAGGCGGGAGCTGTAGACGGCACAGCAACGGGCGAACAAAGAAGTCCAAAACCCATGGACTGGGAGTACGGCCTCCTTATCATCTCTCCTGTTGTAACTCTCCTGCGGCGTCATTGTATCCAGTCACTCCCAGGCTCAAATTCTTAAGGGGGGATCCCACCATCTTTTCTCTGCCGCTATCTTCATTCCTTACCATTCGCATGTTTCTACTCCTCTTTCTTCATCTTTGATCTGTTGCTACTACTTTTCTTGGATTCATTTTCGAAAACAAAGACATTCTGCATCTCAGTCAGTCACGGCTACAGCGAGCAGCGACAATGTGTCTCAACAATTCCTACCAAGTTGGTTTCCCACCTCCTCTCTCTCTCGACCAATCCATGTGTACCTTGGCGACCTCAACTGACCTATCGTACAGACAGTATGCGGCGTCAGCGTTGACCACTACCGACGAGCCGGTAGCCGCGCTGCTATAGCGTGGTGCGTTCGCGTCCGCGCCCAGGTGCTTCGAGCTATTGTGGCCGACCGATGCCTCCCACCTCATGTTGATCATCCCAACTTCGAAGCTTTCTTCATGCCCTCTGTCCGCGTCGATTGCAACATGGTACATGGAGGTGGCTTTTCTAGCGTTGTTAGGCCCCAGTTCGACCGACTGGTGAAGCACTACGCTAAGCGTTGGGTGATTGCAAACGGCGTCGTCATCAAGGACACCAACGAAGTTCCCAACCGATTCCGATTCAACCAAGAACTAGTGGATAGGTGCTTCAAAGATGTTGATAGTATTGAACACTGGCTGCGGGAGGACCTGGGCAAGTTGGACTGGTGGGAGAAAGTAGCCCATGGTATGTTGCCATCGTTGTGATGAAGCTTGCTTCAATAATTTGCCTAACATAAGCCTGTATGTAAGCGCCTCCCGCTAACCTTGTGTACTTGCTTCAGATCCCGGCCTCATTGCGCCCTCTACTCCGTGTACGTCCACGGTCGTCCTTCCCACGCCAGCTACCCCAACCACCCCAGTCATACAAAGTAGGCGCCGTGTAGCCACCACTCCCGGTCAGTGGAAGACGCCAACCCAGTCACCCATGCGACACAAGAGAACTCCAAGTTCAGTGCAGATGGAGGCTCTTATATCCGGCTTGGAGACCCTGGGTTCCGATTCGGACTTCAGCCGTACTCCGTTGATACCAACACCGACACGGTACGTTTAGTCCACGTTCGAGACAGTCCATCTTGGTTGATTTCTTCTCGCACAAGTGACTCACGTGCATCTCAGATGCCACCCAGGACCGCCCTCAACACTTTTCAGCGACCTCGCAAGCGGCTCACACGGGGAGGATCAGATGCCGGGCGTGGCTTGCCTCGCACCGGAAGAAGCCACTCCCGTTTTGGGTCTGGATCTGTGGGCTCCAATAACGGCTCCGATCGTGGGGCACGGCAGTCTCGTAGCGAAAGACACCACTCCCGTTCTCAATCCATGTCGTTGGAAACCAGCGCCTACGACTCCGGTCAAGGGACTCAGCAGTCGGGCCATGTTCCCTCCAACGCCCACACTCAGCATCTCTTCATGCAAGGCGCCTTCGACAGTCCCATCCACTGAACGATCAGTCTGGCCATTGTCTTGGCCTCCAGCACCATCTACCATTGCCCCATCCACAGCCGCGTCCCTCCAAAATACCAAGGTTGGTAATGGCAGTACTGTGGGTGACGCTCCACCCTCAGTTGTCTCCTCTGCATCATCGCCACTATCGTCTACATCTTCGCTGCTCGAGAAATATTTCCGAGAGAGTCCCAAGCCCCCGCCTGCACCGACGACTGTCCTCACCTATGGTGAAACGGACACCCCTTTAGCTTTAGATGTTTCGGCAGACCCTGGTAGTGGTACAGAAAACGGCAGTGGAGACGATAAGAATGGCGATAAAAACCGCATCAGGGCTTCGGAGGAGACCGACTGGTATGAGCGCACAAAAGAGTCACTAAAGTCAACGCAACGCGCATGGGAAATGGTGGTTGAAGCCGACATAGAAGCACAAGCCGTCATATTTGGCATTGATGGAATGGTGTGAGACGAGATTAGCGATTGATTTTGGGCCCTGGACGCTTCCTAGAGTCTGTTAGTGTCATCCTTAAATCTAGTCTGACCGAATATATTGTCGGGTGCCTGACCTTAATTCTACTAATGGACTGGCAACACCATATTGTAATGAAAAACATTCTTCTGTATCTTCATCGGTTCCTGTGCGTGAACGCTGGATCATCGGGCAGCCTTATGGAAGGCACGAGTAGGTGTGGGTTGGTCTCATTTCTGCCCCGTGCCTAATCAGAAGGTGAATTTGGCACCAGAAGATCTCCTAAATTATCATCTTGGCGAAATTGATGGTGGATGGCACCGGCACAGAACGCTCAGTAGAAGTGGTTGTGTTGGTGGAAGAAGCTAACTAGCTAAGTGGAGGGCTGTAGAGGCTGGCTAAGACCAGTGGCGGCGGCTGGCAGCCCATGAGACGGGCCGGCAAGACCTGCCACCCACAAACGACGACCAGAGTGCTGTTGAGTTGACCCGGTGGAGGGATGAAGAGGGGAGGAAGAAAGTCAGTGGCAGACTGCTCCGGCGTACGGCAATGGTGGGGCGTGTGTCACACGGCAATAGGTTCCACCTGCCGACCTCCTTAATTTCATATGGAAAACAATAACCGATGCATACCTCGATGTATGCAATAGTCAATGTCCGGATCCACCATCTGACAGCTTACCTAAGGTAAAGGGAGTCACAGATAACAGCTTCGATAGCCTTTCACTAACATCAAATAACCAAGCCGACCCACCTCTTAGCGGTCTTAGCTTTTCTCATTCCACTCTCACTCACCCTATATCTCACCCTTTATCTCACTCGTTCCCACTCACTCCTCATCGCCGGTTTCATTCATATCGTCTGATTCATCTTTACTTATGGTCTCAAATGGTATCATCATTACCCCTCTCATATGTCCCACCATTTAAATTTTCAGCCATCGTATTATTCTACACACATTAGGAACCTCTTATCGCCTCTGTCGTCTATTCTTATGTTCATGTCATGGTGCTGCTCTCGGCTCTTTTTTTAAGGCTGTTCTGTTTTTCCAAAGACGACTTCAATCTCACGACTCTGCTTGATGATGGCCATTTCGCCGCAGCTAGACTCCTATTACTATCGCAATATTTCCTTTGAAGCTGAGTATCCGGTAGACTTCATTGAAAGCATTTCCCCATGCCAACATGGCCTCTTATGTTGGTAACATCGTAACGCCCATGAGCAGGCAACAGCACACCCGGCAATTAGCCCGCTCCCATATCTTAGCCCTTATCCCGGCCACCTAATTACTCCCAGATCGGAAGGGTAGGGGCATTGATGCTGTTACTCCCTGTTGCTTTTGCTATTCCCAGCGCTTGAGACACTCTGGCGCCGCATGCAAGAAGCCCCACCTAACAGAAGCTCTGTGCAGCAGCCCCTGAAGGGGCGCCGGAGACTAGGGGTTTCAGCGGGTGCTTCACCCCCTAGTGATGACATCAACCCGTGAGGAAAATTGCAAAACAATAGCTCGATAATTTAATTTGCAACGGCTATAATTTTAATATTTTAGTTGAGGCCTTCCTCTACGTTGGAAAGGCACTATTCCCGATGTTCTGGCTGCCATACATGTTGCGTCTATGGGTCCGCGAAACCGGAATATCAACCAGAGTGAGTGAGAACTAGCCCAAGAACAATAGTGATCAGCCCAAGAATAAGTATATTAAGCCGTGATAAGTATTGAGTAGAAGATGATGACGCTACTGAGCCGATGGTCTTCAGAGTTTACGGATCGGAGCTTGCTATTCCCTCCCCTCGGCCTGCTGCAAAGGAGAACAAACTAGAGAGCAGTAACAAACTAAGTTCTTACGCCCTTCTCCTGCTCAACAAGCCACACCATTCAAACCATTCAAACCATTCAAACCATTCAAACCATTCAAACCATTCAAACCATTCAAACCATTCAAACCATTCAAACCATTCAAACCATTCAAACCATTCAAACCATTCAAACCATTCAAACCATTCAAACCATTCAAACCATTCAAACCATTCAAACCATTCAAACCATTCAAACCATTCAAACCATTCAAACCATTCAAACCATTCAAGCCGACCAGCAGCCGTTTGCGCTTTTTACACTCTCTTACGCGGCCCACCGATACAGAAGCAATCTTTTCTTTCAGGGATATGAGACAGGCCATGTGCTCTTGCAGCACCAGCCCATCGAGTCTGTTGAGGGACTAAGACGAAGAAAAGGAATAGACTTCCAAATCTCCCGGCATTTCCCAGCTGCAACATCCTTTGATAAGCTTGATTCGCGCTCTCTCGGCTAGATTGACGGCAATCCGGGACTGGCGACTCTCTGTCCCTAGTTCACTTGGAGGTGATGACAGTGGTATCGGTATTCCAGTTAGCCATGTTTGTTAATCTAGTTTTGGATGGCATCGAGCCGTGGCCATATGTATGACACATAGCAGCATCAACATCAACATCAGCATCAACATCAACATCAGCATCAACATCAACATCAGCATCAACATCAACATCAGCATCAACATCAACATCAGCATCAGCATTAGCACGGCGAGCCTCCCCGCCCTGAAGTCTCCCCGTCCTGAATATTGCCAAGACCGGTTTTTGAAATCCGACATCGCCTATTCCGACCAGCTACGACAACATGCTGCCGGCCAGCGTCCCCAGTGAAGGCTTCATCAGTTGGAGAAGATCTACCTTGGCCAGCTTAGGGATAACAGCACTGCCCCTCGCACTCACCTCATCCACCTCGTCGCTGCCGCCGAGTTCCAGATAACAAGGACCTACGTGTCAAGGCCTAAGAATCTGGCCAAGTTGCATGTCGCGCTGTTTCCCGGCGGCTTACTCTTTCCCGTGGCCCCTATGTCTACTCACATAACTAGTGAGGGCGACTGTGTCTTTTAATTACATACAGATGTGTGTCCAACACCTGCTACATCTACTCTACACCATAGATGCCCTCATGAGGCGTCATACAGACATCCAGGCCAAGAACAAGACTATAATTCTCCCAAGTCTATCTTTCTTGATCCTTAGACAACCAAGACTCCCTAGCCTTGTAGAACAATCTGTTCAAGAGCTGCCTCAGGACGTCTCAGGCGATCCTGGACGTCGCTGACTTCCATGTTGATGCCTTTCAAAGCAGCATCTAGGGCCATGTCGGACCAGCCAAGGTGATTGTGGCGCTGTCGCAGGCGTCCAAGGATCGTCCGCTCGAATTTGAAGCAACGCTGCTCTAAGTCATTCATGGTCTCAATGGCCGAGAGGAGACCAATTAATGCTCTGCGATGGTTGATGCTCCGTATCAGCGCAGCATTTCCCTTGGATTGTTCCTCTGCAGACTGTAGCCCTTTAAGCGCTTGGATGAGCTCCAGACAGTCCTTCCAATGACCCGAGTACTCCTTCGTCAAAGAATTATTGTTCGAAACCATGACGCGCTGTCTTTTGGTCATGTTGTTTGACCAGGCCTGTCTCACACTCTCGTCGGGCCCATTCATCGTACGAGAGCTTGGCGCCTTTCCCTTGTCCCCGTGGATCTTCATCTATGGTGGTGCTGACCTCGTCATGTTTCGCATGCAGATATCACGGCTTTGCGGTGTCACATTTCTGCTGATCTGGGAGCAGGGAGGAGCCTGTCGTCTCGAACGCCTTTGTCTAGAGGGCTGTGTCGATATGATTTGAGTTGATTGGAATACTTACCATGATGTGCAAGGCGTTGGGCAGTATAAGGACTCCACAGTCGATTCCATTGCGCTGCTGAGGCCCATTGGGGGTGTCACTGGACTGGGCTGTTCGCGACCCCGAAGTTGTTTTGAAGCAAGTTGGTTGATGTATTGGCGAACATCGTCTTTCCAAAGCCTCGAGCCTGGCAAAAGGAGTTCCATCCGCCAATGGCCACCCCATACCCATGTACATGACCCAGCACCCAGTGTTGATGAGTCAGTAGATGAATGGGCACCATGTACCCTTCTGCGGGTTGCGACAGGGCGGAAACTTAGATAGGGCTTTGTGCGAGTTCACGGGTGCAGCCCGTGAAAAACACTCAACAAAAGGTTTGTTGAAAAGTCGTTCAATTCTCTTCCGGTTGACAGAGTTTCTGGGTCTTTGCAAGAGACTATCATGGGAGGCTTGTGCTCAGGGCCAGTCTCTTCTTTATCATCTGAGATAAATAATGCCTCTTTCTGACGGCTGTTTGATGTGGCACAGTTGCTGGTTGAAGGAATTCTCCAACGGAACAGAATTCGAAACCTGCATATTAACAGTTTCCATCCTGTCGAAGCATAAGGTCGCTGATGGACTGCATAACTTTGGGATCGGTAAGCTTGTGTCTTTGCTGTTGACATTGACGTACTCTTGATCTTACGTCTCTGAACTGTTGTAATCAAGAGAGATGTGTGCATCTTGGTCATGGGAGTCCAGCAATGAGGAGGTGTTGAGCTCGACATTGTCGTTCTGTTGTCCGTCGGAATTGTAATCATGGCGATTAAAGACGTATTCTAGGCTGTTGCTGCTACGGTCTAGGTCTCAGAGTAGCACTCCTGGTCGTCGTCGCGCTCTGTGGCCTCGGGGCTCATGCAAGGAACTCTCTCCAAACAACAGCCCCTGTCTGCCGACCTCAATTTTCTGCTGCGACGGCTTTCCTGGTCTCTGCAGCGAGTGAATGTGGCGGGCGTGTGCCAGTCATACGGCGCCCACACGCTCGCTCGGCTAACCCTCGGCGGCACCTTGTCGGCCTGTCGTCTTGCTTGTGTTTTCTTCAGTGCTTCCAGGACGTGAGTAGCCTTCGCTTCTAAAAACCTCCTGTTGCGTCCGACTGTGACCCGGGTAAGGTGTCCGGCAGCGGCACCGCTCGTCGAGTATTGGTTTGGAGCTAGGCTCGTCGTCGAGCAGATCGTAAGGGTCTCGATTTTGATCTGTAGATAGTGACGGAAGCGAAGCGCCCTCATTGCCAGCGCGTTGTATACCGTTGGTCAACTCCAAGAAGGCATGTATGGGGCGTTTACGCGAGGTCTTGCCATACGTTGTGGTCTTCTTTCGAGGAACGCCAGGTCCGTCTCTGGTAGCCATGTTGTTCAATTCCTCGAACCTCAAACTGATTTACGCAAGTCTCTTTAACTCCCAATAGAAGCCTCGGCTGGTGGTGTGATGGAATTTGGCGCTTAACTCATCTGGCGCAAGTCTCCAGATCAAAGCCACAGCTCCCACCGCTTGGTTAAGCCTGGTTTCTTTTCGGGTTATGCTAGAGGCAGAGAGGATCGTTCGGGTAGAGTCAAGCAGTAGCCCGGTTATCTGCTGCTTGGTACAAGTCTTTCTGTAGGGCGTGAAGAGTTGTTTGAACCTGGGTAGCTAGGTAATGAAGCTCCACGTCGTGATGGTGAGTTTCCATGTCCGCAATATCCTTACGCAGGGATGCCTCGGAAGCTAAAACCTGGACATTAGCATGTACACCAAGGATGTGAGCAGTATTCGCAGACGCACATATAGCCAGCAATTCCGCCTACGGCACCGGAACGGGCCAGGCGCAGTAGGTAGGACATACCCATTGAGCTTGGGTCTGGCACTTCTGATGATGATGGCTTGAGTCGAGGAAACCCCGAGTTAGAGCTTGACTAAGTCTCGCCGTTGAGTAGGCGAAAATGGGGAGAGATGTTGTAAATTGTGAGGGAAGCGTTATTACGATTTGTGAATAGACTTGAGACGGAAAGTAGTGGAATATCATGGCGGACACGTTCAATATCGTTGGTCTTGGATAATGATGATGTAAGTTTGTTTGGTTGAAGGTTAAACGAAATGACAAAAGTTGATCAACTGGCAAGATTAGCCTTCTTTCACTGAACTTGTCTTGTCTCAGAGGGAAGCAATTACCTTACATTACGTACTTACCTTCAGATATTGAATGTTGGCCAAAGGTAAGAACGTGCCGCCCACGCTACTGCTGCCAAGCTGACTGACTTTGCAGTGGGCTCGCTATGGTTTTTGTGGGTAGAAGCTGTGAAGCGAGCGCTAGAAGAAAGCCGGCAGGCGTTGTTACTGTAGTTGCTGTCTGAAAAGGGCAACTTTGACGCGGACTTGAATGCCCCCCCCCAAACTGTAAACTTCGACCCACAGTGGTACCGTGGTACTGCAACAGTGCTCAACTTACAGCGCTCCCAGTTGAAGCCGACCAAATCAGACGTGGATTCCTACTCGACTCAACATTACTTCCACGACTACATAACCATCGTCAACATGGAGAAGAACCTCGCTGAAAACTTGAAGTTCTTACTCCCACTCAAGACTTTCTCGGTATCCTAACTCGATGACTGAACTATCATTGGTGTCGACAGGCCAGATATACGCAAGCACTGCCGTCGTCCCAATGATCGGCCGCGGTCGATGGTGAGCCCCCGGTTCGGAGCACAAGAACCTCGTCGTCTGCGAACACAGGTAGGCGTACATAACATTAAAGTTGGTTTTCTGTCCTAATGCAGAAGTGCAAGAAGATGGAAAGGAAGCGAATCTCCAACACGCCGACGAGGTTGACCCAATCCGACTACAACGTCGTGATCCAGGATACCGATCCCTTAGCCGTCAACAACGACATCTCTACGACCGAGACCGTGGTTCAATCTGAGAACTATGACTTCTAAACGACCATGTCGTTCTCGTTTGTTTACTCCACAGCAGAGCTGATCGAGGCCAACAGCCGAGTCTCCAAAATGGTAAATCTGGAGAACAACGACCTCTGCGAGGACGAGGTGAAGTGGTCAAAGTCGCCCTACAGGGGGTTCTGAGGTCCCTACAACATCCCCCAGTCTTTGGCAGCGGGGAAGGTGAGAACCTTCGCGGCCAGGTTGTACTTCAGGGCCATGACTTCAAGGACCATCCAGATCGTTCAGGAGAAGATGCCGTACGTCGGCTGATTCTTGTTAGTGACGGGGGACTGGACGGGCAGGTGTATGACCAATACAGTCAATGTAGTAACGTACAAATACGTGACCTCGCTGATCAATAAATGATCCGAGTACTGCTGGATCAACATGCCGACTGTCCACGTCTTCGATTCCACTAATGTCATCATCATTTCAGCCTCGAGCAGCGTCTTGATCAGGCCCGCGAGTGTGTTGTAAGACGAGGTGAGTTTCTCGACGTAGGGGCTCCTATTTTGACATGTTTTGCGTTTATTCCTGCAACGATGAAGTATTTATGCAGACATTTTCCGACGCACACAAGAAAGTCCAAGCATATAGCATCGGCAATGGCCACGATGTTGCCCCTCTACAGGCTCACGAGGGAGTTCAGGACGGAGCTAGCGATGCAGATGATGGAGCTGGTGCTGTTCTAGCAGCCAACCAAGGGCAGTGTCTGTTCTCGGAGGGTTACAACAAGCCCGCCATGGTCACAAACTTCGCCAACATAAACGATACCGAGCATTGCGAGGTCGCGATCCCGCCTAGGAACTTCTGTCAACAAGTAGCAGAGCTCCGAGGGCATTTCGTAGTCTGCGAGAAGTTCGCCAAGTCGAAGTAGTTTTCGTGACCTTGCATCATCGACTACTCCTTTCCAAAGCCCTGCTCGAAGATCGAGGATGACTACGTGAAAAGGAACAGCCACATGAACGCGTTGGTGTACGTCCGGAAAATGCAGCTCAAGATCGGCGACAAGTTGGCGACCTAGCATGGACTCAAGTTCACAAACGGATCAATGGATCCATATGCGAAGGTCCCTAGGCTCAAGACCACGACTACCAGCGAGCTCTTCAAACTCATCATTACTTCCACAAACAACTTCAACCATGGGATCGACAGCCAGATCAAGGAGAGAAACAAGTATACGAGCTCGTTCAGCATCATGTCGTTCAGCCTAGGGATTAATAGTAGATCATGGACGCCATCGTCCATCTGCAGGATCTCAGCTACGCCTTCCCCCTCCCATCGGCGTACATCTTCTCGGCCTTACAGAAGATTGTCTCGACATAAACGTCCAGGCCCTCGAGGACTTCAAGGGGAACTACGACATACAAAGGGTGATAAACCTAAAGGACAAGACCTCGCTCAAGCATAATTACTTAACTAGACGCCAACTAGATTGGGATGCGAAGAGGTAGGTACAAGGGCATGGCTCCGAAGGTGTTTGAGACTGCGTTGCTGTTGATGAAATTGCAGACCCTCATAGTCTGCGCGAGGGAGGCTTGCAAAACTCCGACCATTCAATCATTACTCCCTGTCCGAGCTGTATATTATTCCCGATCTACTGGACTGCTCGAAGATAAATCCGCCGCCGACGAAGGTCATCGTCAAATTACCCAGCGATCAAGCTCAACGTCTTCATCACCGCCACAATACTGAACGACTGCAAGAGCAAGCCGATAAACTTCAGGTTTTTGTGCGATCAGACAACATAGACCACCGTCACAGCCTTCTTAAAAACCGATGCTTCTATTGATATCGGGCATCAACTACTACATGATGTCGGTGGGTCATGTTCGTGTCCAGGACCTTGGTTGAGTGCTTTGGTGACTCCATATACACGTACTTACCAAACTTTGCGGAGACGCAAAGCTACTCAGACTCTGAGTCCATAATCTACGCCATGACGTGCTTCTTTCTCGGCGACTTGCTCTCGATCCCGTCACGGACAAAGCCGCAGCCGCAGACCGGCGCGTCGTATCGCTGAAGGGTCTGATATCCGACCAGCACTACGACATGCTTAATAACAGCATCTCCATCGACCCCTCGCAGACCAGAAGACTTTGAATGCCTCCTCAAAGGTTATCTGGATGTTGAGCATTCTCATGACGGCCTTAACTTGCTTACTTAGGTATTCGCACTCCGGGGTAGTGCCTCGCGGCTGTGGCCTTCGTCCACTGGCTCAACAACTTCCTCGTGCCTGCGCACAGGTAAGTCACGACGTACGAGGAGTTCATACCGTAAATCTCCTGGAATCTCCCAGCACTATGAACATAGTCGCCTCTGCTGCTCGCAACATGCGTCTTGGCGGGGTCGTTTGTCGTATTTTCCCTAGCAATGGGCTCGGCCTTGACGTTGAACACGATCATAGAGGTTCTGACCTTACTGAAAGCCTTCAGGAAAGCCCTCTTCACAACCTTGAAGTCATTTTTCGACTTAGCCCACCTAATGGCAGGCTTCGACAGCATATTCATCTTCTTCTTGCTCCCGAGGGTCACTGACATGCAAGTCATCAAGTTCTTCATGCCGAACCCGGCCTCAATGTACGCTACCTTTGTTGTGCATGATCTTTAGCAGCAACATCCTGATCTCATACAAGAGCTTGACAGCGGGCTCCTTCCTCGATGTCATGAGCTTATTGGTGCTGGCCCAGCCGTCTTTTTGCAGGAATTTTGTATGTCCTCAGGGATGTCTATGACCTTATGCCACAGCTTCCTAGTTACTAGTAGGGACCTAGACTTTGTGACCCATAGACCTTTTACTTATTCCCTCGGCTTGATACTCACGTGGCCGTCTATTGAACAAGTTTCATATGGAAGATCTTGCCGATAATCGCTATTTGGTTTACGTTAGCTTCGGGGTTCATCTGCAAGAGCCGAAGTTTGAGTGTCCAACTTTGAGTTACCATACTAGATGTCTCTGTCAGTAAAGTAGGCGAGATATCTAATAATAAAGTAAAGAAAAAGACTTTAATGCTTTCAATCTTGTGGATAAATCACTCCTCACAGAGACTTAGGTCACTCATGTCGACGACAATGCCGATCTTGTCAGCTCTGACATCTCGTAAATGAACGCTTTGAACAGCGCGATCCTAACATTTACTTTCAGTTTCACCGACGTGGACATACAGAACCATTATAGCTCGTGAACGGCCGCGACGTACTGTGCTTTCGAGGTGTCCCCAAGAAGCTGTATCAATACGAAGCCGTGACTATGAGGCCAGATATCATCAACTCATAACTCGAGAGTTACATGTCAATGACTTTCTCATTGTTCCGTTTCGTTCTTACGTTCGTAATGCTATTAAATTCTTTGACCTACATCAAGCATCCGATCCCAATGAACAACCTTTTTTTTGAGAGAAGCCAAATTTTTGTATCGCAGGCAGTCTTCTACATATCCCTGAACATATCGGTAAACGTTCACACTATGATCTCATTGAATGATAAAAGGGAAACTTGCTGGGATGAGACTATCGCCACAGGCTCCATGGGGCTTTTTGGGATGCTTCTCTTAAGCTTCTTCGAGTCATGCAAGCCGGTGTCCTTCATATTCTTCTTTGTCGTGCCTACGTGTGATGAGCCCCGGGGTCTGATCCAATGCCAAACTTACGGACTCATCCGATGCCTTTATTAGGTCGGTAAGTATGGTTAATACTGTCTGTCATAATCGACAACTATTCTTCATCATCTATCTCGAGAGAATTGTTGAATTCCTCCAGAACTGTAACCAGGGTATCTAACAAGATGGCAACGTTTAGGTAATTGCCAATACATACAGTTAAATCTACGTTTAGATCCTGATAAAAGCCCTAGCACTGTAAAAGATCGGCTATCAAGACGACAGATACAATCACTTGTGCAGCCACATCTTGATATACACGCACATGGTGGACCACTTTCATGAGTACTATGCCAGGAGTGTTCTCAGGCCGAGGATAAGAATCAGACCAGCACCCTACGTCGTAAAGTATAAGCAGATCAAGCTGGATACAGATGACCTGATTGTACTGCGGCTCGTGGTGTCAGACACTCAGTCAAACGGCCTGTTACACGTCCAAGTACTAACTCAGCTACTTGCATAGGTACGAGGTGACACAGGGGGCACTTGATCCCTTGCAGGATTGCAGGGGGATTCGAAGAGACGTACTCGAACAATAAGATAAATCAATCCGTCAGCAAGGATAAAGCCTCATAGGGTACCGTGTTTCAGTCGGTTGGTAATATTGACTCAATCCGTGAAAGCAAAGACGAGAGTTTTCATATATCAGACTAATTGTCAACCCTTGCCCCCATCATGAACGGTGCGCTATTCTATACGAGGTTGGAAGTTTACAAAGCGAAATTTTCTTCATAGCGCACAACATTTCTAACTTAGGCAGCAAAGAAGACCTCGATATTATAAGCCTTCGTCGAGATGACCTGAACAGCATGCCATTAGCACGACTAACTAAGAGTTCAATGCCACCATTTTCCTGTTTTCTACTGGAACACTTGCCAACAATCTAAAACCAGAGACTTAATAGCTGTCGGGACGCGGAAAATGAGACTACATTTACATAGGGCGACTCGCAAGCATATTCTCAATAATCTAGAGAGATGTTAAGAGTCTCTATAGAAATGGGCTGACGCTCTAAAAAGTACAGTGTGCTATTAAGACTTCCCCAAGGGGCGAAATGGTGTTAGCACAAGACAATATAAAGAAAGCAAATTGCTGTAGTTTCGAAGGAAAATTTGGTAGTGGTTTTGTGTTAGCTAACAGAAGCTACCTTGACCGCAGGACTTCCTAGGCACTCGTGTGCCGCCATGTTCTGTCAATTCTGTGAGCATGTTGACTTCCAAAGCCACCTTGAGTGCTCCCGCTTGACGATTCTTCAAGCCCTGTCAGCCACTTATAGGTGGCCAACGTGCGCCTAGCTATATACACGTGAGCACTACTGCTGATAGCATTAATGTAGTATTCCGAGTTACTAAAACATATTTCTATGTCTATATACTTTTGTATGTTAGCTGCTGGTAATAACCGAAGAAAACTCTATAAAGCTTAAAAGACTTATAGTACGTATATAATATTTAGTGCCCTGCCGCCGTATTGACCTCTTATCTATTGTTTTAGTTAACTTGCTTATGATCAGACCGCAGTAATTAAGGACTTGATTTTTAGTTCTATATTATATCTTATACTTCTAATTCTAGAAGACTTTATATTTATTAATTTTCTATTATCTAAGTCTACCTAGTCTAATATCTTTCTCTATTAAAATAAACTAAAATACATAGTAGTATACTAATAATATATTATAAGTTAAGAGTAGGATAACTATAGTACCTTTATAAGATAGGTTTATTAGACTTTAGAAACGAAATCTTATACTTTTAAACTAAGGTATATATTAAATAAGTAGTATTATTAATTTCCTAATTATTAAAATATATAAGTATAATACTTTTACTACTAAAGCTTAGTATAATTATAATCTACTCCTTTAATATCTTATAATAATTATTCTTAAAATAAGCTAAGTATCTTAATTAATTATAAGTATTTTATATAAAGCTTTTATTCTATATAGCTTAAGTAAACCTAAATAATAATTATAATTTATTTAAATTCTCTTAAAACCTCGTTTTTTATAATAAGTCTTTTTACTATATAGATTACTTTATATTCTAAATTACTATCCTAGAGTTATTTCTAATACCTTTATTAAAAAGGCTCTCTATATAATTATAAATTATAAATATAGGGTAAACTAAAGAGTATATTTTCTATAGTTATCTTTCTAACTAGATATTACCTTCTATATAAATATCTAGTATATCTCTATTTATTCCTAGATATAGGTTATATAAGTTATTTAATTCTTAATTACTTATATCTTTCTTAGTATTTTTAAATACTTCTTAATAATTCTTTTATATTACTATTAAGGCTTTCTTATAATTCCTTAGATATACCTAATAATATTTATTTTTAAACTACTTATAACTACTATTTAATAGTTTTACTTTAGTAAATAATGAGAATTATACTAATAAAGAAGAAAATTAATTAAAAGAAACGCTAAATTTATTAAGTAATATTATAGAAAACAAAACCTATATTAATAGTATAAATAAAGATTTATTAACTTTATTTTAGTTCTTTCTTCTCTTAGTAATATCCTTCTACTTTTTAAATATCTTGAATACCCCGATTTAATTTCTCTAGAATTACCTAACCTTAGGCTAGTTATTAAAAAGCTAGTTTACTATTTCTAAGTAAGTCTTTAATATCTTAAGGTAATACTTATTATATATAAGTATATAAATAAGACTAAAGAGACTACTTATAATTAAGTATTTATTCTCTTTAAAAGTATTTAAGAAAAAGTATTAATAAAATATATTATTATTATTTTAAGTAACTACTAGTATCTTTATATTTTAAGCTCTTATCTAAGTTATTATAGTTTAAGAAGTTATTTATTTTATTATAATTAGCTAAAAATAGCTAAAGTTTAATACTTATTTATTATTTAGATATTTAGTATTTTAAAGAATTTATTTTAGTTTTCTTAAGAATATCTTATAAATAAGTAAGTAAGTAATTTATTCTTATATAATTAAGGGAATTAATATATAGGCATAATACTTTTAATATATACGTATAACTCTTATCTAGGCATAACGTTCCTACGTTTTGATTAGCTAAGTAATTAAATATTAGTATATTTAAATACTATTACTTAGTATAAGTACTTATAGTATTTTTTTATATTTTTCCTAACGCGTTAGCGCGTTATTATTATAATATACTTACTTTTATCATATAATAAAATTACTTTTAATTATAACTAAAACTAGCTTTATACCTAAGCTTAATTTACTTTATAAGGATAAAGGCGATAATAGTATAAAGTAATAGCTATCGCTTAAATATTAATACTATTAGAAGTTAAAGACTCTTTAACTACTTAGTTCCTTTTATAATAGCCTTAGTATTAGTTAATTCTATAGAAATAGTAATAATAAAGCTTTCCGTAATATCTTTATAATAATAATATACCTTAAGTAATTTAGGATATAGTTATAATTAGAAAAGTTACTTAGATTAAACAAATACGAATAGAAGCTTTATTATAATTATAAATATTCCTTAATAATTGCTTTTATTCTTATTATAGCTATTAATTTATATCTTTTAATAGGTTATAATACTTATACTTAGCTTAAAGTATAAATTATTACCTTTATATTAAGCTAACCTTTAAGTATAGCTTAAAAAATAGCTTTAGCTATATTTATTATAATCGTAGGTAAATAAGTTTAAAACTATTTTAAAGCTTATTTAAAAAGTAGTTAATACTAATTAAATATTAACTACTAAAGCCTTACGATCTTATAAGTAGGTTTATTAATAGTAATAAATATAAGGTTATTTACTATATATTTTAAATATAAACTCTCCTCCTTTTATTTATTTCCTTAGTATAATTCCTAATAAAGTTATTTATTATATTAGATAGTGGCTTAAAAACTATTTTAAATAATAAATCTTCTTCTTTTTTACCTTTTTAAATCCTAAATTTATAAATACTTAATAAACCTAAGTTAATAGCTAATACCTTTTCGATCGACTTAATATATACA